CTAGAATCAGATATAATGAAGATAAAAATCAGAAATAATTATGTCATTGCTTGCTTAAAAATAAAATTTAACAAATTTAGACATCTTCAAAGTAATCCATGATTATTCATAATTTTGTATTTTATACATTGACAAATCAATGTATTTATTGCAGTTATTGTCAATTTAATATTTTTGCATTCTTGCTTTAACTGTTTCCTTATTCCAACGCTACAGAACACATGCCATAGTGCACAATTCAAATCAATTTTCTATTCATCAAATTTAGTTAATAAGTGATGGCACTGTTTCAATATTCACTAAACTAAAATGCAATTGAAATTTGATAATAAAGAGGAATTGAAACTTAAGAGACAAAACACCGCAGAAACCATATTTTCAACAAACTACTTAAGTATAAAAGTTCGACGTAGTACAAAAACTTACTACTCGCGCCTGCGCTTGAGCTCCAGTGGTACGACACAATCTTCTGAGGTCGAATTTCGAGGTCAGTCTAACACCCATAATTTTGTATTTGTTTAAAAAGTGAATATAAAGATCACCAAATTTTCCTGCTGCTACCACAACATTAACGCCATTCTCAGCCAGAGCTTTAACAATAGTTTCCACCTCAGCTTCTTCTCCAGCACTAAATTTCAGCAATTCATCGGCACTTTCCAGTAAAACTGTACCCTGGAAATTAAAACTCACTGCATTCACACGGAAAGTTCCTGCATAAAAATCAGAAGTATAAATCATGAATGTATGTATTTTCTGATGCTGATAACTGGACAACCAAATCCCAACAGTCACTAATATCAGCAGGACGACCAATATACCATAAGTTTTTTCGATGATCTAGAGAGCTAAATCCTAATAATATGCTGTTTCTTTCTATACTTACAGAGATATTTGCAGCTACTGAATAACACACATAAAACTATGTTTCCTTCCACAGAAAATTTTTACATCTCTCATTGAATTCGTGAAACACATAATTTCTATTGTGATTACCTTCGTTTCTGTTTGTGTCAAATCAAATGGAGAAGTGTACACAACAATTCTGGCTTTATCCACTTTCTTGATTTCACCCTCAGCTCCACGTTGAAAAATCATTCCATTCATAGTTTTTGACGACTGCACAGATGAACCAAGAATTTTGCATACACGAATATTATCCACGTTGAAATTATAAGTGTTCGTTGGTACAATTTGAACTAAAATTAATCTTTTGTACTATACAAAATGATCATCTGATCACTTTATTCAATTGTGAAGAAATAACTTTTTTTTTGGAACAAAATTTCAAGTTGTATAAATTTCAAATCATATTTTGTGTGATTTACTATTTACCATTTTCTATCACTTAAAGAATCAATTCTTGTATATTACCCATTATCACTAGCAATATAAAAAAAAGTTAGACTAACAATACATATTCATATCTTAACACGTTTGATATATGATACAAAACCGCAAGCGACCTACCACAAGCTCTGGCAACTAGATCTGCAAGAAAATCAACGTTGTCATATTGCTTCGACATAATTGCAGATTTCAAATACTTCTGTACCACTTTAATATCCCGTAGATCGTCAGCTTTCTTAACGACTAGTGACGGCAATATTTCCAGTGTTTTGTCTAACGCACTCTCATATCCATCAGCAATTTCGGAAGGATTCAAACCCTATAAATTTTCTTAATCGAAAGAAAAAACCATTGCTAAAGATAAAACTTCAGCAATAATAAAATGAAATACATAGATTTTTTTCAATCAATCTTGAACTTCTTAAATTTGCTGAGAAAAAAGTATGCCAGAATATAACCGTACTTTTATCGCTAAGTTTCTTGTGGATTTATTTTCACAGCTGTATGTCCCACTTATACCAATTTGGAATGGTCAAGAAGTTAGCAACACGAATCTAATAATCTCGATGATCAAATAATAAATTACTATCAGAATCAAATAATCACCATGTTCAACAGCTGAGATGCATGCTCTAGTAATGCAGCACCGAAAATAACCACTGTATTCGTGCCATCACCAATCTGTTTCTCTTGCATTTGAGTGGCCATAACAAGCATTTTTGCTGCTGGATGTTGTACTTCAAGTTCTTTCAAGATTGTTCCGGCATCATTCGTTACAAACAACTTTTCGATATGATTGATCATCATTTTGTTCATACCTGAACATTTCTGCTACTTGATATATGCAGCGCAATGGCATAATTCAAACCTCAGTCAAGAATTTCCTTCATACTTAATTTTACATTCAGTTTGAGTAAATTAACTGAATTACCACTTGGTCCAAATGCTGATTGGATTTGAGAAGAAAGTTCAGTGCATGCCTCAATATTACGTTGTACAGCTTCTTCAGTACCTTTGAAATGCTGAAAACCATCCCAAATATATCAATACACTCAAAAAAGGAAAAAGACAAAGATAACTGCAAGAGAAACCAAGTTTTGTATGAAGTGCAAAATGCGGTGATTTATAAGCCTTATGCTTCGTAACAAATACCTGTGCACCTTCTTTTAGGAAACGAGCGTATCCAGATTTCGGGATTACCATAGCCATTCTCTCTATCTGAAGAATGTAGACAAAATTAGCTGCAGGAAGGAACAGTTAAAGCATATATTTCTTACGTCCTAAGAACGGATCAGATGGCCAATCCATGCACACCTCAAACGTCCTTTCATAACTACCACCTTTCTAACAACATTTCACTACCCTACCTAATTGTCGGGCAAACCGCAAAATGCCGGCCCGGCGCAAAATGCCAGTTTAGCTGGTATCCTTTATCGGGAAGGGGGTGGAATAATGTAGATTTTCCGCCCAGGTAAGACTGCCGTGAGTTAAAGAGCCTTTTGGCGACGATATACTTATAAACTTATAAAACGCAACTATACCAAGTATGACATAAAGACCGGACGAAGTGGCTGGGTAAATAAAGTCTTGATAGCCGTAATCAGTCGGTCTCCCCCTTTATCTATTTACTGTCACAAATTAAGCAGCATTAACAAATTGGATGTGTAATCAATAAGAAAAGCACCAGTACTTGTTTTATTAAATCAGAGAACTATTTTGATACAAATTGCTACGAATTTTTCTTAGTATGCGAATCAGAAGTATTAGCTTAAAAGCTACAGAATACAACAAGATTGCTTGCGTTGGGGAAAACTATGGTAACATATTTTTGTTGTTATCGTAATCCATAACGTCGGCAATATCTTTATTGTTTTGTACGGTATCGTGTAGTATTGCGTTTATACAACAACAGAAAGGAAATGAACACATAGTAGATATTAAATTATACAATAATCCGCTGAATGTTCATTAAGTTGTCGTGCTTTTACATCACTATCGAATCTGTGATGAACTGACGTCCGTGTTGTTCAATTCAAAGTCGAATGTGTCGAATCTGTCAGAAACTACCGAATGGAATAAGTCGAAGCTGAAATGCCTCTATTGATTTAACAGAAGGATTTGAGAGCACTTTTGAACAGAGAATTCTTTTAAATCCTTTTTTATCGGTGACCTCTATCTGCAGGTCGGCTTCTTGTCACTCGTGTCCTGATGACCGGATGTGTTGCTATAGTTATAGGTTTCACCCTTCCTTAATCTCTATCGTGTCGTTTCACGCTTGGTTACTTCTGTTTACTTATATCTAGATCGACATGTAGCTTATCTGGTATACATATTTATTTCAACTTACTGACTCCTTTGAAACTGTCTATCCAGCTATTTGGTCCGCTATATGCAACTAATTATATTTTGGGCTTGCCGACAGCTTGGCTAATTTCAAACATTCTGAAATTCACTAACAAAAATTAAATAATCGATGTGTTAGTTGCATCTTAAGGTCATCTAACGAATTGCATTTTGAGCGAAATGAAGGTCAAGATTTGCAAAAAAGAGAACCATATGCGATACATTGGATGAATTCAATGAAATCTCGCATGCGTGATTTTGCGTGGAAAAGTGCATTTGATCACCCGGTCCGTCGATGACAGTAATTTCACTGGCATGATAAAGCACAATGCTCTTTCCTAAATAACTCTCAGTAAAACTATTTCTTAAACAGTTGCTGATTACATGATTTTATTAATCGAGGAGAAACTAAAAAGTACGTGGGATGCTAACCCGCGAATTTGATTGATCAAATATAGCGATTGTCAGTTGTAATATGGCATTACTCTGCTGTCTTAGCAATAAAGTAATCTACAATTGGTTAGGTTTCTCAATTATCTCATATGCAAACAATTCTGATTCAATGATTACAAAACTCTAAATGCAGAATGTAGGTCAATAAATGCTATTTGTTATCTATTATGATTATTTATCATAACAATGCAGGTTACAGAGGAAGATAATTTATAAAGCTCAAATTGTAATTAAATTCTTGTCCTGTATAGAATGGAAATTGTATGAAGCTGATTATTGCCATATCATGATGTGTTGTTACTATCATATCAATGATAAAAGACTCATTTTATAATTAAAATCGATCATAAACAGCGTCAGAAGTGAAGTAGACGTTGAATTGTTATTACCATATCACAATGTGTTGCTGTTATCATATCAACAGTGAAAGAAAGCCATCGTTTTATTTTTGTGGATTAACGTCTGTATTTCACGACACGCAGTTATTCAGGAAGGAAATGAGGCTCCATTTTTGATGTTCGACGATCAAAAATGAATTACAACAAAGAGTAGTAGTGAAAATCTGAAGTGTTTTCCGCTAAATATCTTCTGTCGATTTTTATAAGCCAAATGTGAAATAAGTTGCCAAGAACTGAATAGCCAGATGTATCATGTAACCTAAACAATATTGCTTATTTTTAAAATTTCTCTGCTGCTTCATATGACCAATCGATGCACATACCGAGGCGCCTACTTTTGTATTTTTAAAAGCATGCGTGATGCGAATAGTTTAGTGACACAATCACGCTGCACGATAGCTTCTGCAAGCTGCAGAAGGTATTGCAGAGGGTACTTTTTTTGGTGACAGTTCATTGAAGCTAACTGATTGGAAGCATACCTCCAGTACTTTGTGCACCGTCACTTTCTTTAGTCGTCGGTATGTCTGCTTCCGTTGCGACGACTCCAGCTTCTGCCACTGCCTCCTTCGCAATCGCTATTGTGCTTGGTACTGTCCCAATGTCCGCTACTGTCTGTCCTTCTGTCTTCTGTCCGGTCGTCTGTTTTACTGTCTCCATTGTTCCTTCGGTTACATTTCCTCCCTGTCCGGTGAGTGCATCTTTTTCCGTTCCAGTGACTTCAGTTCCAGTAACAGGATTTTCGTCCGCTTTGGCTTCGGCGTCTTCGGCGAATGATGCTGCTCCTCTCTTCTCAATGGTTTTAAACATCGTATTTGGCTTGCCTGAGTTAATTACTTTAAACTGTCCATATGTTTTCTCTTCATTTCGTCCATCTTTTGCTGTAATGAAGTTAGTAAAGTAAGAAATATTATCGCTAATTCATTAACTTCACTAACTCACTAAGAAGACACCGATTCTTGCTTACTGCGTCTATTTCCATAACTTTCGCTTCCGCATAGCAAAATGAACATCATGATGAAAAGAGTCGTTGGAACTGCCATTACGCCGGTAGTGAACAATGACAGATCAAACAAATTAATACTTCTTATAATCTTGTCAACTGCTCACCATATTTATCAAATTTGCATATTTGGTGGAAATAATTATAAATCATTTCGAGAATTCCCATAATACATCCATCTGTATGAGTAATTATGAAAGTGACATCAATTTCAGTGTATTTTGCAGTTAGAATTGCACAAATTTGTATTAAAAAATTTTTCCCGAAATATTAATAAAGGAAACGTAAATTCTCATTATTTCTACTTCCTGTTACCTGAAACAGCGGTTTATTATCACAGCACTTTCTATTTTCATTTTACCAAATAAACATATGGCCGTTACAAATAATGGGTTCGACTATGACATTTTCAAAATACCATAAATTTTCATTTTCTTTTAATGAGTCTGAACAAGTTTTTGAAGAAGCCCCAGAAATGCATAATATTCACGGGAACTGTGGAAGAATTTGGTTCTGAGAAATTTGAAAGTGAAATCATTTCTGAAAGGAAAAGAATAATAACATCCCCAAACTTAAACTTATCAGCTAATTAGAATTTTTTTAGGTGGAGTGCCATACTTACATTATCATTGCTAGGCCTTATACCATTTGCTGCACTCTCCTTCTTCATAGCTATCTATTTTGGCAGCATCAGACGAGCCCAAATAATGAAGCAACAAAATGTTATTGTATCACCTGATCAGCAAGTAATGCTTACTTTTTTCAATCCTTTATATGACAAATTCTAGGCATCCTCTCATCTCGAGGATAGTAGAATACTGCTAACATCCTTTCTTCCATTCTGCATACTGCAACATTTATTTATTCGAATAAGGGATTTCAAAAATGCATGTGTGCTTGATTGTTTTTTTCAAAATTTAGAGAAAACTGTGACGGGAAAATTGCATCTTTTAATGATTTTGCTGTAGTGATCGCGAAAAAAGTAAATACGGAATTCTGTCAGATCTGGATAAGGGATGACAAAAAAAAGAAAAGTTCGGTGAGCAATATTCAATCTGCGGATCATAAAAGAACGATCAGCAGAGTAAAACATTGTGATGCTCAAATTGATACTAATCGTACTTTTTCAATAACAGAACTGGGAATTTCTGGTGGGTTTGAATTAGAGCTGTAAATTAAAAATGAATTAGAATTATCTTTAATCTATGGACATCGAGAAATAAAATCCAGAAATCAAATGTTTTAATAACCTGTGACTTGATATGACAATATTCTTTGCATTTCAAACTTTTTTTGGATCAAATTTTCAAAAAATCTAATGATAAGGAAACAAGCTTAAGAACATTACCCATCAACATGTAATATTATATTAGAACATTCTTTTCAAAAGTAATGGATTAGAAATAATACCATTTTTTTCGAAAACGAAACTTCGATTTATTTGTCATAGCAAATAAGTTTTTCAAATGAATTTAAGATGAAATGATCTAAGGTTTCGCAGAAAATAATAATAGTGATGAAGCTTTCAAAGAATAAGAAGTGAAATTAAGCGAATGACGATTACGTTTTCAATCACTAAGTTACGCGAACCAAGTGAACGTCGAAGTAGTCAGTATGATGAAAATTGAATGTATGTGAAATAAACGCCACCCTTTGTTTCAGCATCATGAGAATCACTTTCATCTCCATTAAGTAAAAGATAAGCTAGTTTCAGGTATAAACGAATTTGGAAATACGATTCTAAAAGACACTCGACCTAAGATTGTAAGTGTTACTTTCTATTTGTTATGAAAAATTGTAATTTTAGATTGCTAAAGTTTTGGAGCCTTAACATGGAACTTCTAAAAGTGAGACTAAGTTCAATACTTAATCGGATCATAATATTTATCCTCAAGTGTACACTGCGATATGAGGTAGCATAGTTAAGATTTTTCGAGAAGTTAGATTCTTAAAATCATTAAAACTACTTCACGATAATTATGATTTCTATTTCGATCTTAATTTTTTACCACCTAATGACTGAACTATATAATGCTTATAGAATGATGAAACCGCTGTCAATTCAAATATGCAACTGCAAAGTTCATGCTCTTCAATAATACATCGAGATGCTCCAACAATCTCATCAATAATTGTAGTAGAAGGAGAGAGAACGACAAGAGATACAAGTAGAAACCAATCGTCATATCAAATCACGTACGTCACGCAAGCATTGATGCGTTTAGAGATAATGAAATTAGCGAAGATGTTTTCTTCTATGTTTAAAAATTTCAAAATGAAAATTATTGAACAAACTAATTCCATTTGTACAGACGATTCTTATAATCCTGCTTCAAATTTTGTGCGATTTAAATACAACTAATGCTATCATTTATTATTTCTATTAATTATTATATTTCAGTTCAACACCAATTACTCGAAATCTAATATTAACGCCGAAAACGCCACTAACGTCATCAAGAGATAAGGCAAGTATTCAAAAAATTCTCAATAATTCCTCATGTGAATTCATTGCATCTCATCGAATAACAAAACATACCTCTTTACAGCGAACAAGGTATTTATTATTTTTATTATCATTGTCATTAATCACTGTCCATCTTAAATATGAGATTATAAAGTACTAAAATTTTTCAGTGTTTTCTTCATCCCATGAATTATTCACTTTTCCTTTCATCCAAATAAAATTGGGAAGAATTACACGAGAAGCTTGTCCATGTCACTCACCAAATTTATAATCAAATAGAGGTAGCTAACACTTCCTAGAACTTTCTAGCATTTATTTAGATAAAGAAAATGTGAATAATTATTGGAATAGTGAAAGAATTTAACAATTTTTTTTGGCTCTAGTCTGTTGGGATTGCATCATACTGATAGAATGATCATTCAATGTTGATTAATATTTTTTTAAAGAAAACGCCATGGATTATAATTAAGAATTTTACATGTCCAGGAAAGAGGGAACTAGCATTAATTAGAAAAAAATTTTGTTAGCCGTAGAACATCAGTAGCTGATGAGCAGATTTCGGTAATGAAATGAAAGTTATACTTCAGACTTGGCTAATGCCACCAGATGACAACATTTTGATGAAATGAAGTAGCGATTTTTACACGTCTTTAAAGGAAGACGAAAAAACGTAAGACGTAATAACAATGTCAGGACATGACTGGTTATCAACACATTCACTGAGTCACTTTGACATGAAAACACTCATGATATCATTATCTCTCCCCTTTGTTTCAATGTTAAATTTGATAATAAAATTTCAAGAAATTCGACAGAACAAAACTCTGAATGCATAGAATTTACAATCCCGGAATTCCAGACCGATATATCGAAATCGCTAATAACTGAAGGTTCATAGTTTTCCAGATCGATGCTAATGATTCATCATTACTTGAACTGTAATTGTACTACTTCCAACTATTTGATAATTTACGATTCACAACATATTGTTTTTAGGTTTTGAAGCAAAAGAGCAATTTTTTACTTCTCAATATAATTTAATGCCAATTTAAAACAAATCTACCGAAATGTTTCTGTAAAATAGCTGTGAACATACTGATTTAGTCATGACAAAAATACAAATTTCAGAGTGTTAACAGAGCAGAACGAAAAGCTGACATTCCTTTTCTCATTAAATTGTATTTTATACAGAACAACTAATGGACAATCGTTTATTTGTTCACATGATTCGTTTCAATATTCAAATAAAATGATACATCAAAACGCACATTTCTGATAACACCGAAGTGAAGAAGAAATAAAAAAAAAAAAAAAAAATGAACCTTATTTAAAGAAGATTTCAACAATAAATTAATCACGAATGTTTGCTGTTCCTAAAAGACTTAAAAAGTATATATATATCCTCCTCTCATTACTATTACAGTATAACTAATTCAACCAAAGACTGAAAAAGAGCCACCGTGAGATATAGTTTCACTTGAAAGTTGAAAAAGTATTTGAAGTTAGGTTCAAGCAACGAACAACAACTAAAACCGAAATACGATCGAACAACTTGAAAATGGAAACACCAGATCAATACGGATAGTGGAAGAGATTAAATACGATAAACATTTTCGGAATTTATGCAGTAGGTCTTCGAAACAGTACAGACCGTAAGAATCATTCTCTTCGCCTCGTTTTAACACGTGCCCCACTGCTACTTTCACTTTCATCGATTGTGTTGCTACTTACATCAGATGCACGCTTCCGTTCTGAACGTGCTGATCGATTACTCTGAAAAACATTTTGTTCAGATATAACTAGCTTATTTTATAGTAACTATAATTTGAAGACTGGATCGCGCATCACAAGGATACAGCGAAGAGAAGAAATTTTCAAATTAAAATTTTAATTACTAAATCTCGGTAGCAATTTTTCTCTTAACAATTGTTTGGCACTACGATTACAAAAAAAGATTGCATTGTTTTAAAATGTACTATACGGTAAACTAAACGGGAGATAGTTTTTGTGTATCACTGAAAATAATGGGCATGCATATAACCTTTTAGCGCTTCTCATAGATAACTTTGGTATAACGTCCATAATACAACAACAGAAGAGCTCTCATCATTCGCCTTAATTTTTTGCTGATCAAATATTAAAGCGTCGAAATATGTGAACTTTACCGATGTTGAACAGGTTGGATTATTTCCCCAGTTTGACTGTAAATACCTTAACAAAAGCGGTTTCATATCAAATATTATCCGTTTTTCATCATCTGTTTGTTTAGATATACGAACCACTACCGGCTTTCCATTCTAAAAAAGAGGAAAGAAATCCCGAGCACAAAAAACCTATTCTTACTTCTAAAACTTTTCTTTTAACATCAACTTCTCAAAAGCTTGGCATACAGCTTTATGAACACTAAAATTCAAAATCAAAAAATTCAGTTATCTGATAGATCAAAGGAAAGGATCTTCCTGATTCCTAAAAGATGGACAGTTCCATAGTTGCAATAAGTCACAGAAACAGGTTGAAGGACCGAAAGCGATCTCCACACCATTGCCTAACACCACGATCATTCTGTGGTGCCTTAGTGGATTTCAAACCATATTATGCATATAATATTTAAATTATCTCATCTTTAACGTATATAAATTATTTCATCTTTAAGTTTGCTCCCTACCTGTTAATCGACAAAAATTTAGTTACTTGTTTCAAGAAAGAAGAAAAATTGGCTTTGTCGCGTGATGGTAAATCCTTAAGAAAGTCAGCAATGGACATTTCCTAAAAACTAAAAAATCAACATACTATTTCGATAAACTTATGATAAATAAATATGTAAGTAATAAATTAAATCGAATGTGCAATGAATGCAGTAGAAAACAGTATCCTGCGATCAGTGAGGACTGGAATTCCACTTTTCGTAAAACAAGAAAAATGATAAATATAAAATACAAATCTAACGGTATATAATGAAATGAACTTTCCTAGCATCTCTTCCCCTTGGAAGCTGCCATACTTTTGGCTAGAACTATTTATTTTCTGGAGAATCAAAAATTGCAAGCAGTCATGCTAAGAAACAAAGTCGGAAAGAATTTTACTTCTAATTATTGAAAAGATAATACCAATTATTCATAGAAACATTAAAAAAAAAAATATATTCCAGAGAACAAAACCACATAGAAGTAGCAAATTTACATGAAAATTTATTAATAGCAAGACATACACTGAAACCACACCATGCCAGTGACAAAGCCATAGGTTCACAATAATGATAATTTCTATAAAATACAGAAATGTTATCGACCTACCAACTAGTGATGAGGATATTTTCTTTATCTTAACAGTTACAATAGATACGAGCCATATACTTTGGTTCCAGGTATTAAGCTACAGTACTGCGAAATATCTGAGATAAGTTGTGCCGAAGTCATGTTCCGAAATCAAATTTATGAAAAAGTAGAAAATAAAATTTGAACAAGTAACTTCAACTTTTTTTCCTCACAGATAAGAAATTTAAGAAAACTCATGCTATTAACTACATCAGCTAGTTTCGAGAACTCAACCAATATCTTAAATTAAAGATGTTGGTCTACAATCAAAACTGTACAGTTGATTTGACTATTCTAGAAAAGTCTCAGAAGTCTAAAACGGAAAACTATAACATCTGGTGATAGTGTATTTACGAAGATGTTGAAAGTTTCACATTTTTAATTTATGTAACGCAATAATAGTTCCACTAAAATTCAACTGCACAAGTTGGAAATGTGAAACTCTCAACAACTTACATAGTTTTACCATTTAGATGCAAAACTGTAACAAACAGTGCACAATTCAGCAATCATATTGCATGAAAACTATCCTAAGAACACTATAGAACAACAGTCAAAGGTCATTCACTGTTTCCAACTTAATTCTGCCTTCTTCGCCAGGTTTAAAGGGAGGTAAGCCCCAATACGGGCAAGCTGAACAGCGAAACGCGTCACCAAGACCACACTAAAAGTAAAGCATAAAAATTTAACTTATTGTAATCTTTTAAAACTAGTTATCTTTAGGATAACTGTAATTTCATTAAAATAAAACTAGCTAACATAAATTTTACGAAAGAGAAGTTATTATAGATAAGCTACCATATATAAATAATTAAAAACTGACATTTCCACATGATGATTTGCCAGGTTTCAGTTGTGCAACGACTTTTTCAGATTCCACTATCTCAGCCAAGCCACAAGTACAATTTTTACATGGTCTTCTTTTCTTCAGTTCACCGCAAAAGTTCAGCTTTTCTTCGTGACTTTCTAAAAATCTTATTTCATTAGAAAATACCAAGAAATTAACTACTAATTAGAAGTATTTAAAGGGAGAAAATGATGGAAGGATGATACCGAGGCATACCCCATATTCTACCTTTTATAGGCTTGACATAATCTTCATCTTTTAACAGCGTGTCCTCATCAATCAAGTCATCATCCATCACCTTTATGTTCCAGACATTTGATTTTTTATTTAAATGCGGTAATTTTAAAGGTACTGTGGCACCCACACTGACATTTGGCTGCAAAATACCAATACCATTAGATTAAAATCAATTAGATGTAAAGTGTAAAAAAGTGCTAAATGGAAACGACATATCATTCAGTTATCACATCATAATGAATTGCATATTTGAAAACATGATAACATGCGACATGGTCTAACACTTCTTGCAATATGAGAAAACAGCTCAAAGAATTGCCACAACAGTGTGAAAGGATTCCAGGACATAAAGCACCAACAACAAATAAGAAGAGATTAAATTGCCTGGCAAAAATTCTTTTTGAAAAACGGAGCTTTATGATGAGCTAAATTCTATTTTAAGTAAGTCTAAAGAAAACCTTTTCACAATCATACGCTTTCCATGCGTTATTATTAACTTTCATGACACGCAGAAATCCAGCTAGCTTAACCTCCCGTAAAACTTTTGCTTCATCAACATCTGAAAGTATCCAAGTTAAGAATATTTGGCGAAGAATTACACAAAATAAATGTAATAAAGCTACTGAACCGCGAGCACTTTATAATATTAGACTTACCTCGCACAATTACTCTCACTGCAGAATTAGGCCTCGCTAATAAAAAAGCAGACCGAAGTAAGCGCTCAAGTGCGGGACCAAATGTAACAATGATAACGGCATCATATATTTCCTCTTTGACATCTAATTCTAAAAATATTACTGACAAAAAATGTGCAATTATGTATATAATATGACTAACACAAAATTTTATGGATTTCAGTTTTAATAAAAACTTTTACTGGAATTTTAAAGTGAAAAATTACACTTCCATGAGTTTAGTCTCTCAGGTCTAAACTTACAATAATCCTACCAGAAAACGACATATAAATCAACCATGTTGTGTGTCGTTTTCTGATCAAAAATATTCAACTTCATAGTCTTTTATAGACTTCATTCAGCTGGTTTACTTCATATCATTAAGCATACACAATCCCACAGTTATATGTGAAACATTAATGATGTTTAATAATAGATAACATAGAAAGAAGTTCATAGATTCAAAAGAATGTAAGTGTCAGACAAAGTGGAAAAAAATAAAGCAAATGACAGACCAGTTTGTTTGTCTCTTGGAGTAAGCACAGTTAATTTTTTAAATCGCATCTTCAACTGCTCCATACTCGTACTGAAATTATCGGGTAATTCTGAAATGAAACTACGTGTACAGCATTTAAAGAAGTCAAATGAGTGACTTATTGAGCTAACAATCCTCAAGAGTGCTGCAATTTATAAGATTCACAGTTCTTGATTTGTAATAAAAGCTAAACATATTTTCTCAGACTTCCTCATTTTAAATCATATTCAAGAAATTACACTTCCATCATTACTTAGTAGATACCATACTCATCCTACTTGATTAAGTACTTCAATATTAAAAAAATTTTCTAAATCTTGATCTCTCAGTATGCAAGATATGTGGAGTTGTTTCTTTTACAATTATCTAAAACTAGTTGTATTTTGCAATTAAATGTTCTTCGATAAATTCGAAAGTTGCCACAAAGTTTTGGGAAACGTAGATAAAACCTTAACAAAGTGAAAATATACAACAGTGTATCTTTGATCCACTTCCCTTTGGTTTTCTTTCTATAGCGTTTACATAGCATTCATGTCTCTGTCCAGATACTTGAATAGTGAAAATTTGCTGTTGTGCAGCAATTGTCTAGACACAAACATGAACACATCCCAAATCTTCCTTAAATTTTTGAGGTTTTCTAGTCCTCTATGAACATATATAGTCCCGCATTCCCATAATTTTTCTACACTATATGTAAGTTCTTGTTATTTGATAACCATTGTCGCAAGCTAATGGTGAGGCAAAAAAAAGTCCCGGAAAATTTCAAGTTGGTAAGACTAATTATACTATTCTAGTTTTTATGCCGCGAATGATTGGTATGCATGGATAATAACATAAAATTGAGATGTGCAGCATTCGGTTAACATTTCGAAAAATTGCAGAATAGAGTACAGTTAACTTGTTTCATCGCATAAAGCTTGAATCAACATAAGTGTTAAAACGTTGAAAATGAGTATCCACCCCATCCCCGGCTTAACACGAATAAGTTAAAAGAAAAAGTTTCAATAAAATTTATGATGAACAATAGTTCCAGAGAAAATAAACCAACCTTCCATATTTGCATCTTGTAGGAGCAAAATTTCTGAATTCGAATCAACTGTACTCAAGAAAAAGATCAAATCCATCTGGAGAACATTAACAACTTTGCGATGACAAAAATCAAATCAGTAATTCTAGTAACTGAAATAGACAAAGAACTGATAAGAGAAATTCTTAAGGTATTGGCCATGTAGAGGACTTTATTAGAATTTTTAGCTGTGAGAAAACTGAGAAAATCCAGATTTATTTTATAGGAGATGAAATCTTTACTTTTATCATTGCAGAATAATGGAATTTTCATTTTTCTATTAACTACTCGTGTCAGTGGACTAGGAATCAATCTTACTGCTGCTAATCGAGTGGTAATTTTTGATCCTGACTGGAATCCTTCTACCGATATTCAGGTATACAGTGGTTTCACACGCAGTTCATACATAGAATTAAAAAAAAAAAAAAAAAAAAAATCCAATGAAAAGATTTGAAGGCACGGGAGCGAGCATGGCCTATTGGACAGGAACGTGCTGTTACTATATACAGATTGTTAACCGGTGGCACCATTGAAGAGAAAATTTATCATACGTTCGACATATTTTTTTGCCTTCTTCAGATTCTTTACCCAAAATATATGCAAAATTCAAATCTTCGTCTTTGTTCTACTTTACTCATGGTTTCATTTTAGGCAAATTTTTAAAGTTTTCCTATCAAATCGTACATTGGATGATCCGAGACAAATTGAACTTATTTATTATATTTCTATAAACACAGTACATGTGCAACACACGCACACATCACCGAGTAAAGACGTAAGCAACGCACGGCTTAAGTTCAGTTTACTGGATGTCCCGTATGAGTACAATGGAGGAACTGAGGCGATTCGCTAACTTTGTATTAGATAGTGAGGAAATTTAAGAAGACGCATACTGGAAAGAGAGATTGATGAAGTGAGAATAGCATTAATTAAGAAGAGACGATTGAGAAGAATGTCACGGTTTAAAATATCAAGCACGTATGAAAGAGGGCAGAGAAAAAAGTGATAACTGTTAATTCATATCAGTTATCATTTTCTTCGAAATGAACCTAGTACGGTTAGCTTGGTGACTGGGCTGCTGTAGTATTGGGACTCGGCTATGTTGTACTGATAATTAGCTATTAAATGTTTGAATTAAAAAATAACTAGTATAGGCTTTAGAAACGAGTCAAAACTCAATCTCAGTATTAGGATTAAGTTTCACATTTATTTCATCTGGAATATACGTATTATTCTCTCTGTATTTAAGCACAATTGAAATGTAATAAAAAACGAAACGAATTATTGAAATTAATAGATATGATTGTATGACTAAGTGTTGTTGAATTATCAGTGGTCAATAAGATGAATGATGATAACTGGTTGCTTTAAGAAAAAAAAGTAAAGTGATTCTGTTGAATATATTACCAATGCATCACTGTGCGCTTTATTTTTAATCTGTGATATATGTGACGGTGATAATTCCATTAAGCTTTTATCTTATCATAATTGTTACATCTATAATTGCAAGAAATTTTTTCTGTGCAATATAGGTATTGCATTTTTAAGAAGTGTGTGACGATCAATTTGATGTTTTGTTCTTTCGAATGGACCTCAGTAAACAGGAAAAAGATTATAATAGAAAAAATGAACGGGATTGCTATCGACGAACAACTTTTAGTTTTAATCGTGAAGAAATTGGGGAGGACAGGAAAAATGTGAATGATCTTGCGACACTTGATAGCAGTAATGTTGCTGTATACAGTGCTGCTAAGCTTGAACAAGGCCTACTGCAACAGGCAATTTTTCTCTTTGAGTAATTTCTGATTCGCTTAACTTCATATGATATATAATTATATGAGCGCCAAAATATGAAAAAAATTTTCTTTGTTATACATTGATTACAATAAATTTTAAGAGAAATTACTTTAAAGTAAAATTTTCGTATTCTATTTTTTCTGTCTTTGGAAAGATTTTTCTTAATATTTGCAGCAGTAGATGAATGTACTAAATTAAACAAGTCCCTTTGAAATGAAATAAGTGAGCGAATTAAGCTGATAACATTATTGTTTCTATTCATATAAATTAATACGAGACTTTGCTTATCCTGTGCTATTTCCTTTTATAATAATGTGTATTTTTGCTCTTGATTTCTAGGTTGAAAAGACATTTACTGAAAATGTTGCTGCCTTGGAAACTGGAGTGTCACAGAATGCAAATGCAGAAGGATTACAGAATTTTATAGTTAAAAATTCACAATCTACACTTGTAGAAAATGGTGATATGACTCCTTTTGAAGTGCTTGATAAATCACAAAGAGATACTTCAGAAACTCTGGTGGAAGAACTGAAAGTGGGTAAGAAGCGAAAGGTATAGTTCGTTTCTAAATCTTATTTTTTTATGATTCGCTTAACTTCATATGATATATATATATATATATATATAATTATCTTCATATGATATATAATTATATAATTATCTTCATATGATATATAATTATATGAGCGCCAAAATATGAAAAAAATTTTCTTTGTTATACATTGATTACAATAAATTTTAAGAGAAATTACTTTAAAGTAAAATTTTCGTATTCTATTTTTTCTGTCTTTGGAAAGATTTTTCTTAATATTTGCAGCAGTAGATGAATGTACTAAATTAAACAAGTCCCTTTGAAATGAAATAAGTGAGCGAATGGAAATACGTCGTCTGAAATAGAACCCGTAATAAAAAACAAACGTTCACGAAAAGTAGTAAAGACGAAAAAAATTGACAGGAAAGAACGAGGTGATGCTGACGATGATTACTTTAGGAAAAGAATACGGTACAAAACGAATCAATAACTAATTGACACTTGATGTCTGAGTTTCTTATTCTCAAAGAATTTCTGTGACCAGATATTTTAGAATCTAATAGGTTTTATTTAAATAAATACAGTTTTCCTATTTTTATGTTCAGGACCCATCTTGCTCGACTGGAACTTTCAAAAATTGAAAATGGGGGAAATCAATCAAAGGATAGTGATTTTCACGAATTGAAAAATGGCATAAAAATACTTAAGGATTGTTGGGAAAAGCTCTACAAGTTCGTTTTTCTTGTAAGTAATTTATAAAAGGAGAAATCATTAGTTTAATCTATTTTCAGGAGATTTTGTAGATAACATAGCGGATGTGTAATATTGGTAATGTTCAAATATGAAATACTGCATTAATTCTAGCTAGACTAGAATTTTGTTTAGCATGAAATTTGGAAACGAGGTTATTTGTATACTGGTCATTCATATGAATGCTTAAAATAGAGTAAGAGAATCTACTAAAATTAAAATATACTTTAGAGATTGTTGGTTTTCCTATGTCAAGTGCCAAAGTTCCATCACGCAGTAATTAAGTTTGTCGGATTTATCCTTACTATTATTTGCTAGTTTTGAATAGACAAACATAAAGCAAAGTTATGAAGGAGTTGGTAGGGTGCATAATCAGAATAAAGCAGTAGGTTGTTCGAAGTAGTTCAAGTTTTGAATAAGAGCAACATTGTTTTGAATCATTACAGGTATCATAAAACTGGTGTAAGGTGGTTGAATGAATTGCATAATCAATGTGTTGGTGGCATTTTAGCTAATGAGATGGGTCTTGGAAAAACAATTCAAGTGATTTCATTCCTAAGGGGACTAGCATTTTCATGTTTGGAGGATAGAGGATTCAGGTATCATCAAACTATTATATATTATGGTTCCTTAATATCTGTAGTTTGTTAAGGAAGTATTTGTAGTTTTTTTTTTTTTTTTTCCTGAATCTTTATCAAATTATTTATTTATAGCTTTTCTGGCCTTGGTCCAGTGCTAATTATATGTCCAACAACACTAATAAGGCAGTGATTGAAAGAATTCCGCACATGGTTCCCACTTTGTCGTGTTGCAATTTTACACAGTAATGGTTCTTTCTACGGTCAAAGTGCGCAATTAATTCGGAAAATGGTTGTATCACGAAGGTTTTATTTTCCGCTTAGAAATGGAAATTTAAATAATTTTGGATTTAAAAAATGGTACTGGAGGAATATTGTATTTAATTACATCACTAAAAATAAAACTATTTTAGTTCGAGTTTTAAAGTTGTATTGAATACCACATCGAATGAAAAATATGCTTTCAAGCTACTTAGAGCGATGGTAGTGTTTTGTTAAATTGTTACTAGTTTTAGTTTAAAACAAATAGCATGTTTAAAAATTAGGTAGTCGTCTATTTTTGTCTTGCAGGAAATTTAAGCAATCAAAAAAACTGCAAATAAGAAGTCCAGGTATATCGCCAAGATGCCGTAATTTTCAATATGTAGGGACCTACCCACTGTTCAGTGGAAAGGGTGAAAAGAAAAATGTTTTTTAAAAGATTTATATATGAAAAAACAAACTGATCTGAATGGAAATTATATTTCAAGGAAGGTTATAAATCATAATCTAAATATTTCTAAACAGAAAAAAATAAGTATATTTTACTGAAAAATCCGAAGCAATGATTATCGTAATATTGATCAAGAAGATCAAAAAAAAAAAAAAAATTACCAAAATTAGTGACAATCCATTGATAATCAAGCATCACTTGCCGATAAAAATAAAGGACAGAAGGAAGGGTTGAGGCAATTTATTATGACTATTTATCCACAGAATATAACAACAATACCCTAAAAATAACAAATTCGAAAGATGAATATTACAGAGAATAAGTAAAATGAATGGACTAAAAGTAGCAAAATCGCAGTAAGTTTTGTAAGAGAAAATTATTCTTTGGCTCTGAAGAAACCTTCGCATATAAGCTGGCAAACCAGCGGCTAGAATGAAAATTGATTTCGATTATTCTGCAGATCAAACTATTTTGACTAAACAAACAAGGATTACAAAAACAAAACAAAACAAAACGCGGATGTATTAAATTATAAAATCGACAAATGATATAACCAAAATGATTTTCTACAGAATTGATGAGAAATTTCCGAAGTTCGTTCAAATATAATTATTGATTTCTTAATAGGCTGAAAGTGACTTCACAAAGTTTTCGCAAAGACTACAAAAAATATTTGAAATCAGAACTGTTGAAAAATTTATTTTCTAGTGGACAATGTTTAGAAGTAATAATTACAAAAGAGTGAAGAATTGGAAAACTCAAAAACATCTTACAAACTTTCAACTATACCCTATGCATCTGCTCCATCTTAATTATTATATTTATTACCAACTCCCTGCTTTTTACCAATATCATTACTATCCCACACGCTCTTTTTCATTTGGTCTTTCTTCTGAACAAAGGAAAGTTGTTTGTTCATACCCACGACGTCAACAATATTCAACCGAGCATATAGAACAATGCTTATCACTTATTTAATGCTTTCCATATTTTTCATCCACAGAAAACAAAAGTGTATAATCAAAATTTCTCTGCACGAATGGAATAATAAATTGAAACATAATAAAGCAGCTTTCCTTTCCCTGACAACACCTGTGGAAAGGGATTTTGGAAACAAACCGAATATTTGAAGTCTTCGGATTCGTCTCATTTTCAGCTTGAAGTGATTGTTTTCCAACTGCAAGAAAAAGTGAGCCAAGAAAATTCAGTTAACCATGTTGAGCTGCATCTTCTAGAAATCAATCTCCATGAAATTCAAAATTCATTTGAAAACGTCTTAAAAAATATGTTAACAAATTGGAAAGCAATGTAATGATTTTTCTGTAACGCCAATTTCGAAACGAATGCATTTAGCTTACGAGGGACTGAAACGATCGTAACGGCATGATAATTATTAGTGGACTTGACACCAACATGTTTCAGAATTCTGAATGCAACAGACTCTAATAAGACAGCTTTTTGTTGAGAAAACTAAAATTATTTACTAATCACAATTATGAAGAAGGTAACAACATTATTTAACAAGATATTCATATAATTTGTCACGTGAAAACTCTGTAGAACAGAGTATTTCTGACACTATAAAATCTTCATTACCATACATGGATCAAATTATTTAGTTAGATATACTTTTATATAAATACTCACTCTTTTGCCATACTAATTACGTCTAAAAAACAAAATCCATTATTACGGGTAACGAAATTGAGATGAAAATGAATGTGAACTGTCAATTACAAAAAAAAAAAAAAACAGAAAATTCACCACGAAAGCATTGGGAAATGGATTATGCTCGGTTTTGTTTACTATTTCGCCATCTCTAATTAAGGTATTTTTCCGATTGTCTGGTTCATCATCACCTTGAATTATCGACAGTGATGAAACAATTAAATTGGACTCCACGGGAATACTTTCTTACGCATTTTTCCTTGAAACCGTGCTTTCAAACTAAGTTAAAAAAGTTTCAAGCTAAATTGAAAAAAAAAAAATTGGAATTAAAAACAAAGAACTTTCACTTTATTGGTCGATGAAGTTCTTTACACAACTGCTTACAAATACAATGCCATTTACGTCCGGTCGTTTAGCTCTTTATAATTTAATCAGGCTCAAAAACACAAATTTAATTTCATTGAAAAAAAAGAAACCTTTTAGCAGGTTTCTTCCGCATTTCCAACACACTTTCTAAGGGAGTAGAATTGGCTCGCAAAGTAGTGATTCTTAGTTTCGCCACCGCCTAAATTTCGACAAATCTTATTTTAATAACTGTGTTAGCTTTTGATTTTATATTAATAATGAATAGCCGCCAAATTAAATGAATAAATGCAATTGTTCGATAAGCAGTAATTTAAACTACTTTCTCGAGGCTTGCGCAAACATCTGTATGCAAATGTACCATCACTGAGACACAGTAATCAAATCCTTCGATTACTGTTTAAGGAATTAGTGACATACCAATTCAGCTTTCATCGAATTCAATGCAGTGCTGAAGAGTTAAATAAATTGAAAGATGCAAACCATGAAATCTGTGTTTGGCATTTAACATCTCAAATATATTCATCTAGATAATCCACCGACATTAAAAATGGTAGCTCTATTGCGTAATGCTAAAACCAACGAGATATGCCTTATATAATTTAGGGTAGATGAGAAAATTCCTTTCTTTTGACATACTAAATAATAAAAAACAATTAGCACATGTATGAGAGAAGAGAATTAAGAAGTGGAACTGGAAATTTACAGATTAATTAATAAATCCGCAGTAAGACAATGTCCTAGAAATAAGACATAAAATTATTTTATTCTCAAAGAAAAATATATTTTCTATAAAACAGTGTACATGATCAATTACATAAATATTATGTTTTTATAGAATTCAAAAGAAAATTTAGAGAAAAAACAAACTTTTTATCGTCCTGCAATTATTTTAAATTGGTTATGCATGATGGACATTATCCCGTTTCGCCAATTTTCCATTGCATTCTGTATAAGATTAATCCATTAACAAATAACAATCCATGCAAAAATTACGCATGTTTCGAGGGAAGAACTTCAAAAAACGTGGGGAATTCTATAAAAAAAATTTTATCCATCTTAAGTCAAAAAAACTTTCAACTTTCTAAGGAAAAGCCAATAGAATCTGTATTTGGAACCCAAGCGACCCAAGCGCACAACTTACTCATTTTTCAAACTCGCTTCCCAGCTTTTGCACTTTTTCAATTGCAAAATACCAATGAAGCATTTGTATTCTTTATTTCAAACTCGAAATCAATTATTTTTGCAAAAGTTCTGCAAATCAATTATTAGAACAAGTTCTCAATAATCAAATTTATTTATTGCAATCAAAGCACTACAAGCTAATAGAAAAGCACGCCATAACTTAAAATTAAATGCTGAAATGAAACGTAGTCGTTTTAATTAAAATATGTAATATAACACATCAATTTGTGCTAACCAATGTTTTCCGATTTCAATTTAATATGTCGGCTCCTTTCAAGTTCTATTTGATTAGTCATATCATACAGCTCTGCGCTTTGTGCCTGATAAATATAGAAAATGAAGAAGATAAAGACCCGTTAAGAAACCGAATATTGATAATTGCGGGATACCGGTCCACTATCAGCTGGAACCGGTCTGAAAATTAACAGCTTTATTGATTTCATTTTAATCTCGAAATACTGCTATGGTTTTTGTCTTCATACATAACTGCTCACAACCGACATATTTAGTAGGAGTATCTTGGTACCAAAAATGAAACCGCATGAGTCTGCACTAAAAGATCATTTGAAAACATCCATATTTAAATCATGAAATTGCAACCAATTCATTCACTCACCTCATAAGAACACATATTTGACCGTTATTCCCTGAATACATCCTGTTATTTTGCGATTCTCAGCTGAAGTAACTTGTATAATTACTATAAAAGACAAGCTTAAAGCTGTAATATCTACTATTGTTATCGTTATCAGTACTTGATAAATTTGCACTTATGAAATTAGATCTGAAAAGGCACGTAACTGAAACATTGTCAGTGCTTTTTGAAATAAACTTTTTATTCAGTTATGCTTATTATGAATCCAAAATTTCATGTGTTCGACTTCATAATACTTATTGGAACATAGTAGCAAAAGCAGCTGGTTGTGGAGAGCAGTATAAGCTTAATGAACATTTCAAACATCACTGAAATACAGACAAATACTACCTTTACATCCCAGAGAATAGTTCGAAATGATGATCATATCTTGTTAATTCTTATCGGTACGTTATTTCATTGTCACCATTGCTATCGCCATCATTATAACTGTTCGTTATCATCATTATGATTAAACGTGCCTTACATAGCTTTAACAGATATTTTTAAAGGGAAGAATTATAAATGAAAAACTAAAATCTATGAATTAGTGAGCTTTTTAAGTGATACCAGTGTAACTATAGAACTGAAATAGCAACTAAATTATTAAATTGAGAACTTCATTACACGTAAAATTAAGAGAGTAAGTGCCTCATGCCATGCAGATAATTGACTACAAAATTAATTCAAGTTTAAACTTATGGAATGATAAAATGATAAATCTCGTTTAAGAGAAATAATTCAAGCAAACAAAATGTACCACATACACCTTTCAAGCTAATAAGTATAAAACATCTGACAATTAAACCACTAATGTTAATTGATTCAATACCTAATCAGATAAAACATAATAATTCTGTCACCGCATCTGAAGAGAACAGCAGAGAGCTGCACCGACTGTTCACATTTAACGAGCCGCTGGGCAGGAGGCAAATGAACGTTGTCGACTAGCGATCGCGATTGGCGGTCGAATTGGCTATTCGTTGCCCTTTTTGTGCTTGGATTTTCTTGTGAATGTTTCATTGCAGTTGTTATTGATTATGTAGTATACACTGCTGTGGCCAGCCAGTTTCAATCCTGAAATTTAATTAATTGGTTAACATCCGCTAATTTTAATCAGTCGATATTTAATTAGCTAATTGATGCTTCAAATCTTTAATCTTAGCTATTAATGTCAGTAGTATGAAAGGGTGCTACGAATAATGTTACTCTCACCAAGGTCTCCAAGGTTGAAATGCGACAGTTGTTCCTAGTTATTAATTTTAATTATTTATTTTTTAATTAATTTGATATCTTTAATCTTCAACTTTTCATTATTCTGTTGTAAATTATCAGTTATCCTTAAAATAACATCGCTTAAGAGAATGCAACATTTATGTTGTCTACGTATCCATGTGTGATGGCTTGATTTAGAATTTTGGAACCTAATTGCTCGATCCAAAGATTCAGGCTCCTTAATCATATGTGCGCTTTACTCTATTAGAGTTAATCATTGCAATTCTATTCTTGTTATTCTTCATCTCTCTTCTCATAATGTTTAAATTTCTTGATATTTCTTTAGTACTCTTATTGACTTTTTTCGTATAACTTTCCATTTTCAAATATCAAGTTTTGGTCTTTCCTGATTTTTCCGTGTTATCTTTCCTTATTTCGATTATTTGACTATATCAGTTAGTTTGATTCAAATGTGTATCTTTCACTTTCAGACATACTACTAAATTTTATTTAATCGTTAACTTTTTTATATTTGTAGTTGGTAATCGAGATTTCCACTGATATGGTAGTCCTACGTTTGTGAAATCTTTAATTATTTTGATTACTTTATTTAATTGTTAACTTTCTTCACTTGACTTCTTCCATCCATTAATATTTATAGGGTTTTTTGTACCTACGATAAGATGATCACTGATTTTCTCATATATTGACATAACTAATGCTTATTACCAATTTTCAACTCTTATTTTCATAAATTGTATCTTTGTTAAGTCTTGTGTTTATTAAACTTCAGCTACAGTCATTTTTCTATGTTTATTAGTGATTTAAAGTGATAGCTACGTGTTTGTGCTATTTTCCTGTCGCTATTGTTATTACAACATCTAAAATTTCAAGCAAATTGTTGCATTTTTTGACGAAAATTGATTGCAGAATGGATTCATGTATTCGAGAGACATCTGCACGAGCGATCGCAGCTGATTTTCTTATGCGTTTAAGGAAGAAAGGAGGTGATGAAAATCGATTGAAAGTTGCCAGACAACTTTATGAGTAAGAAACTAATGCTTTCTAATTTGAAATTTTTGCTGGGAAATTGATGGATGATCTCATATTAGTGCAAGACAGGAATTGTAAATCTTTGAAGAAGACAAGGCATATAATTCTGAGATTATCTTTACAATTTTCTCTTTAGAAATAGTTCTTTTGAATGAAGATGATACAAGTCTACCAAACTATCTTATTCTTGGAATATGTAAGTTATAAGTTCCATTCCAAGTAATCATGAAGGTCAAAAAATTTCAAAGCAGTTCTCTGAAAGAAGTGACAGTTCATCAGTTGTTTATTAAATCGGATTTTTTTACAGCTATATAAATGGGGAATTACGTGATAGCAGTGATCAGTTTGCAGCGGAATTTTTTGCAACATTCGATGCAAAAGTTGATCAGGTTGGAAGGCATTAACTTTTTATTTTATTTCTTCGAAACACTTATATGTTTAAACCGCTGACTTTTCCTGTTAAATTTTTTGCTAGATATCTGGAAACTGTCAGCAACTGGTTTTTCTCCACTACTTATTTGCATCAAGTTATCCGTTTTCATTATAACTGAATTTCGTTATTTGATTGGATTCTAACTTAATTCTGCCTTGTTGTTAACTGTGTTCGTTCTTAAACTTCTTGAAAGGTTATTAGTCATGTAGGTAATAGAACTGAAAGAGATTTTGTTTGAATTATATCAAGCATATAATGTTGTAAGAAAAAAAGTCTCAGTGCTTCCATTGTCTTTGCTTATCTAATGAAATCAAACGCACATACTTAGCGTTATTACGAATAAAAATAAATTAGATATAGAAAGCGAAACTTTATTTTTCATAGGTTTTCAGAGTGCTATACATACGTTGATGACGAGTTTGGATAATGACGAAAGAAAGGCAGGAATTATTTTGATAGGTATCTCGTGATTCAGTAGATATTCAAATTCTTACTAATTTTATCAGAGCTATATTAAGTACATTATACTTTTTTATTCTTTATAATGTTGGATGGAAGACTTTAGCTTGTCTGGTGGAAAATGCTGGTGATGAAACAAAACGTGTCCCACGTTTTGCTAAATATCTTCTCAAAGCACTAGTACAAGGCGATGAAGCTGGTATGAAGCTTGTTGCCAGGGCAATTGCTTATTTGATTCAGACGTCGAAGACATTCGCTGCTGAGCTAGTCGAAAAATCCATTAACCAGGTTTTTCTTATTCATAGCGTAACTTCCTCTATTTATCAATTTCATCTTTTGGTTCTGGAAGGGATGCTTGTTGAATTGGAGAAGTTTACAACAGTTAGAAATCTGTCTCTAATGGTGCATTTGATTTTGCTTTGTTTAGATTAACTGCTGAAAGTAATTGTATAATATTAGTAAATATTAAGACATTGAGACTTGAAGTTTTTCATAGGTGTGTGAATGGCTTGAAGAATCTGAGCGACATGAATCACGTCGTCTTGCTGCTGTTTTTCTGGCAAGACAATTGGCCTTATATACGTCAACATCATTTTTTCTGCGTGCATCTAACTTTTTTTCCAATATTTTCAAAGTTATCAGAGATCCTAAGGTTTGAAATGTTTCAGAATTTTTTGAAGATTGTAAGATCATTTAAAAAAGTTAAAGGAAAAAAAAGCGTTTTTTTTTGTAATTTGAAGTTCTGCTGTCTTTTTAGATAAGACAATACACTTGGTTCGAGTAATGAATTAGACAGCAGTTCTTCATAGCAGAATTTTTTACTGGAAGATTAATTATTAATTTTTGTAGTATTAAGGTAAATTTTTTTCTTTCTTTTACTTAGTGCTTTTTCTTCAGAATTAGAGTGATACGTTTTAGGCCACGGTACGAATAGCAGCTACTAAGGCTTTGCATGCTGCCCTTACGGTTACATCACAACGCGAAGCACATCAGAAATCTGAATGGTACTGGGTAAGTTTTTTTCAAATTTTAGTCTACATTCTCTATTTTCTGTGATTTCTGGATAAACAAGGACTATTTCTTTGATCATTTTCATCACGATTCTGCTGAATATAGTTACTTGACAGCAGTGTATTCACAAGATCATAGTTGCTGATCAGAATGAACTAACATGTATTAAATACACTGCTGAAACAAAATATGGGTAAAGACACAAAAAAAAAAAACCAGTAGCAAAAGATGTATCCAAGCACGATGAATAAACTGTTGTTAATGCATAGTCTTTCGTTTTATCGATGAGTTGTTTTTATCTATCTATGCTGTCGTCGAAACATTCGAGGATAAAAAAGTACCTTATTCCATTACGTCTGGTTTCTGCTGGATGATGCTGAATACCATTCAATTTTTTGAAGAGTTGACATGTCCAGTTCAGCATGACGGAGTAAGGCTATGAATTGTATTCCCGTGGAAATGTGGTTGTTAAATATGAAGATTAGCTAACTGAAGGTATTTCCGTCGAAATTACGGGTCATTTTAATACCGCTTAGATGGTTGTGGTTCATTACTGAGATATGGTTGATTTCTATATTTACCAGCAGGTCGATGATTCAGTCCAAGAAAAGTGAAAATTTTTCTGAGTATGATGATATAATAATTTTCAGCTCTTTCGTAAAACTTTTGGAATTATTTAGTGGTTTTAATCACTATGATAAACTGCTATTTTCTAGCGCTGTTATGATGAAGCAATAAATTCTTTGAAATTTGACGGTTTAAATCGAGATGAAAGGCAACATCCCATGCTTCTGATACTGAATGAACTACTTCGAATTGGTAATGCACCGGCTGAGCGTCAACGCATCCTAGCGCTTGGTTGTCAACCACAGCAGAATGTTCGAACAGTAATTGGATCAAATGCAATAGATTGGTTGACGGAGCGCACATATTCAGTTACTGTTGATAGTCGAACTGCTAATCAGCTTATTGCAGAAAAATTTAGTGACGTTAGTTTAATTATGCCTTCAATAATAATTTTTATAGTAAAGTTAAATTCATGTTGTAGATATGAGGTTTGGAAGAAAACCGTTTCAGAATTTAACTGTTTTCAGTTGGATTTTCCGTGGTGCAAATGTTTATTTATCTCCAAGGGTAGATTATCTATTAAAAAACTTTTCCATACGCAAGAATGTACAATATGATATGAAAAATGAAATAATAATTAAATCTTTATGTTCCTATATTCGTCAGCGAAAAATAATTGATTTTCTACACATAACATTGAATGGTTCTAAGAAAATCTCAACATCTGGAAACAGTTGATTATTTTTTATTATGCAGAACTCTCATCTTTTTGTTTAACGTGCTTTTTCAGATATATCGGGTGTGTAATCTGGCATGTACTTCACGTTATGTTTGTTGCCAAACAACATTGCTTGAAATTTTTCCACGTCTTTCATCATTTGGAAAGACGCAGATGGTTACTTCAAATAATATTTTCAATGTTGATATAGCTTCAATGTTCAATCATGCATTAAATTTGACTACAAAACATTCTCCTGCTTTCTTTACTCTTGGTTTGTTGGTACTTGATCGGCCAATAGAACTGCTTTTAAAACTACCTCGTCTTTTTGCTGTCATACAAATTCAGTTACAAACTGCAACGTACAAGTTAGTTATTTATTATTGATTATTTATACTTTTATCGCTTGAGCAGTAATGCTATCGTTTACCTTCAGAAATAGTAGAATATAATAAAAGAGTCTGAATGAAGTTAAAACGTATAGTCGTTTCTTAATTTTTCTTAAGTTCCTTTATTTTCAGTATTTTGAAGGTTTTTCTTTCGTCCACGATTAGTTTATTTCAAGACCTAAAAGTTACTAAAACTATGTTTATGCGATATGGTAACTAGTATTAATAAGTTTGTGTGTATTTTTCATAATGCTTATATTTTATAGGCACAAAGCAGTGGATGAATATGTCTTCTTATGTTTAACATTAGTTATTCGCGCATTAAAAGAAAAAATAGAATCCGAAATTAAAACGCTATTGCCGATTTTATTGTCCACAGGTTTATCAAAAGGTATTGCTCTAGTTCATTCTATAATTAATAAGAATTGCACTTTAGTATGTTTCTCACTTTTAAGGAAATATTCCTGACACTAACAGATCTTCAAAATCAAATGGGTTAACAATAGGTAAGACTTGCAAGTATTTTACGGGAATAAAATCTGAATATTCGTGATGCTTGATTACAAAAATCAGTGGAAAATTAGAGTTTTGGGTTAACATCTGTGACATTGATTTTGCCTTGAAGAAAAAAGGCAGAGAAAGAAATCTGCAAATTCAAAGTTGAAAACTTCTTGGCTCGTTCTGTTAGCAATATATTAGCAATATAATAAAAAAATGCAATTCCAGTCTTTTCAGTTTTCGTCTTTTTTTTCTGAAAAAGATCGTTTTGGTTTTCATTTCAGGGTTAACGGATGTTGCTTATGAAATAATGCAGTCCATACCTGGATTGAAAACGGAAGCCCAAGATGGTTTGTTGAAAGAGCTTTGTCAGCTTTTAATGAATCGCAAATTGCCAAGTAAACTTGATCCTCCGACAGAACCGCCCATTCCAGTTGGTCCTGTGAATGTTACTAATGTGGCGCTTACAAATCTTGCTTTAGCTACACTTGGTCGTTTCGAATTTCAGCGACATGCACTTCAGATGTTTATAAATTATATAGCTCATGTAAGAATTGATCAGTCTCACCTTTGTTCTTTATATTTAGTCTTCAACAACTGTTAGATGCGGCAAAATTACTTCTTGACCATTGGCAAAGATTAAAAGTTGCCGATTTATATTTGATGAATTGAGGGACAATAGCAAATAAACACTAAAATAATAAAAGTGAAATTGGTGAATTCTTAGGGCTACTTGTCTTCTGATTGCGTAGAAGTACGTTTAGCTGCAGTGGATTGCTGCGCCAAAATGTTGACGCCCTTTGTTCGTGTATTTGAATCGTTTGAATGTGCCAATAAAAAACAGCGTTTCGATGTCCTAAATTTAATCCAGTCTGTACTTCGACAACTTGTTATGGTTGCCGTTATTGATCCATGTGAGTTTTTCTGATACTTCTTTCTTAAAATGCTTAGGAGTATGATTTTAGTTTTTTTTAAAAAATTAAGTGGTAATTTGTAACAAAAAGATTTTGAACATTGTTCTGGATTTATTCAATTACAAAAATAGAGACGTATTTCAGCGAATAAGTTTAAGGTAGTATTTTTACTGTTGATTGAAGCCAGCTCTGGTATTTAAGGAGTTAGCTTCTTAAGTAATGTTTACATATGTATAGCCTCAAAAAGCAATGTTTTAGCAATATATTTAGCAGCGTAAAAATGAATGTATTTAAAACTAATTTGCTGATTACCCTTCACCTAATTTTCGATAAGAATTTCAAATTTATAATTACTGTTTTTTACATTCATAAAAAAGTTCCTGTTGAAGTTTAAATTAGAGATGTTAGTGACCAAATGTGGTATTTCTTCCTTAGTTTTCTTTATCCTCTCTTGGGATATTTTCGCATTTTTCAGCGGTGGAAGTACGCTTGAGAGTTTTGCAGTGTTTCAAAGATGGGGATCCACTTCTGTTGTCGCATTTAGCGCAGGCTGATATGCTTGATTCTATTTTCATGACTTTGCATGATGAAAAGCTGGAAATGCAGGAACATGCGGTAGCGTTACTCGGAAAACTAGGCAGTATGAATCCTGCATATGTTTTACCCAGTTTACGTAATGTACTGTTGGAGACACTTATCCAACTGACGAATAGTGGTGTGCCCAGGTTAGCTTATTACATCTGTTTGTTTCTAGTTTTTAAACTTGTTATAATTAAAAAATTTATTGCATTTTCTGCTGTTAAAACTAAATTTACCACTGCTCTCTACGAGAATACGTTACGTTCTTCTAGCAAGCAGATGAGTGCAATATATAGTTTTTTTTTTTTTTTTTTTTTAATGAAAGTTCTAAAAATTTCAGACTCGAAGAACATAGTGCTCGTGTAATTGCACAGGTTGCTAAGCAGTCTCCAAAATTTGCAAGGCCCTATATGAATCCGATACTGACAGCTTTGGTACCAAAACTGAGCTCCGAAATCAGTCATGTGGATGTGACTGTGCAGGTTTCATAGTTTGCTTAGTGCACTTACTTTGAAGTTTATTAAATAGATTTGGAATTTTGAATAATAAAATAATGTGGACCACATTTGCAGGTATTGAATGCTATAAGTGAATTGGCAGTTGCGGGTGGTGCTGATTTGGTATTTTCAGTAGAAACTCTGTTTCCCTCGTTGGTGCAATTTTTGCAAGATTCCAGCAGTTTAAGTCGCAGAGAAGTGCTGATTTTCTGAGTTTTTAAGTAGTATTTCTACGTTTTTATTCATACTGTTAGTGCTTTTACTAATTCTTTTCTTAGGCTGCTTTGCGCACAATGGGACAGCTTTGCCAGAATACTGCATATGTCGTTGATCCATATAAGGAGCATCCTGAATTGCTTGATGTACTTCTGAGATTGTTACGAACGGAAATGAGTGTTTCAATGCGTCGAATGACCATGCGGGTGACTTTTTAATCAAGATTTTCTACTTTTGCACATTAATTCTATTCAAGTTACTTAATGAATTAAGAATTCTCTATTTAAGCTACTCTTCTTTTTAACCATTTTCAGGTTTTGGGTATTATTGGAGCCTTAGATCCTTATACACATAAAGTTTTCACTGGCAAAGTTTCTTCTCAAAAGTCGAATTCGTTGGCTCTGTCATTACCAGCTACATCACCATCCTTGGATATGCGGAACGGTGTGTTTTTGTTTAGTTTTATTTGGAATTTAACTATCGGAACTTCGAGCGTGACGAAACACAGTCATATGAATTGTATCACTGTTTCTATGATATAACCAATCTTTGTCAGGAAATGTGTTATATTGAATGACCGAGAAATTACATTTGGAATTGTCCAAACTTTTCAAATATCTTTCGGATTCAGATGCTTTCTTCTTTTTTCAGATACTATTCAATGGTTTCACTATGAAAAGTGTACATTAGCAGAACTCTATCCTGCATTTTCTATAGCAAGTTTAATGCAGATGCTAAGAGACGATTCACTCAGCCATTTGCATCGTGATATCACGCAAGCACTACTTACTATATTCGGCAGCCTTGGTCCAAGTTGCACTGTCTATGTTAGCAAGGTTACACAAAATTATGCACTTTTTTTTTTTTTGTTGTTGCTGAATTTTATAATTTTACTTGATAGATTTGAAATCATAATATTATGAAAGAATACATAGTTCTACATACTCTCTCTTATATTTGTTTTCTATCGGAAAATTATTTTTGTAAAAAATTTTGAATAATCTCCTAGGTTATACCTCGCCTGATTGAAGTAATTCAAACAGCTACTCGACCCGATTTGAAGCAGTTTTATTTACAACAGTTGGCTAATTTTATTGCGATAGTTGGCAGTAGTATGAAACCATTCATGTCGAAATTGTTTAGTTTGATTAGAGTAAGTTCATCGGATTTATTGTTGGTTCAGAATCCATCATAATGACATTTAAGAATTCATTGCTAAGTTAATAAATTAATGAAAAATTAAAGGAATCATGGTCAGAAGATGTGAGCATGCGACTTACTATTGTTAATGTCATGCAACAAATTGGCTCAGCATTTGGTGCATCATTTGCACCATATATTCCTGAGTTGTGTCCATATCTTCTGAGTATTGTTCATTCAGATCGTACGAAGGATAGAGCCATCACTTGCGCTGTAAGTTATTTTACCTTTTATTGTAAGTTGTCAGTAATATTTTTTATTTACTTGCTATATGACAATAATTTTGAAATAGCCATTGTTGCTTTCACGTTTCACTTTAAAATACCAAAGATATCGTTGTTATCTAAGATTATTTCTTAGCTACTTCTTTTATCCTTGCGAAACGTTTCCATGTGGCTGTTGTCGTGTGTGATACTGTCTTTGTTGTAATGGTGATATTTATGAGAAAGAAATAAGGGTGTGGATAATGTTCATCAAATAAATATTACATTTTTTCTAGAAATTAACTTGTTCAGTTCTTGTCCATAGCACATTTCCTTTCACATCTATCCATGATTTTTTTCACAACCTTAAGCAGACTGAGATATCGGGATTTTTCTGGAAATAAAAACACATTGATTGAATGTAATAGCAGAGATTTATCAGCAGTTTCTGGTTTATATAAAAGAATTTTATCTATTGCAGTCGGGATGTATAGTGCAAAGCAAAAACTTTAAAAAAGTGGATGGAAAGGCATCACAGGAGTGGACCATCTGTTATCTCTATTAAGGTTTAGCAGACCATATTGAGAACAAGATTGAACCTTTGTCTACTGTGTTGATTATTCCATAACCATCTTATTATGAAGTTATAAAATATATAAAATACTACATAAATTTGAAATTCTGAATTTCATACTTCCTTAGGTATTCACATGCGTTCAGTCAATATCGATGTGTCTGGCACCACATATTCATCTTGTTTTGCCACCTATTTTGTTTGTTCTCGATGATCGGAGTGTCAAAGTGGAAGTGCGACGGATTGCTCTGGATACAGTTTATCAGATGGCTGAAACCATTTGTATTCGTGACCATGCACCGAGAATAATGCAAGTCTGGTTACGAGTTATTTCTGTCCATGCACTACAGCAAAAGTTATTACTTTTATTAGTGGTTATTGTCCGACAGGTTAGTATTTCATGTTTTTCCACAGTTGAAATATTCTGGTAATTTACGCAATATTTACATTTTGTTTATTTATATAAGTTTATTAATGCTTAGCTCTGCATCCTTTTCTTTTCGAAACTTCCTATACTGCTTCTCAGACGACCATTGCAGATGTGGAGACAGTTTCTGGTTTTTCGTAAAAGTGTTGACTATGCTCTGGCTCGACATAACTTGCACTGCGACGAATATTTAAAGTGTGTTATTCAGCTTGATATTGAACAAAATTCTGAATCCAAATGAAGCCAGTTTTAATTTGAATTTCCTTGTTAAATCTATAATTTAATTCATGGATAAAACGGAGTGTTTTGATTCGGTTTCACAATCTTGATTTTATGTTTTTGAGAAGAAAGGAAAATCTTTTAGGAAAGCTTTGACTTAGTTGTATTAAAATGAGTAATGAGATTAGTAACCATTTTAGGCTTACTGTACAACTTGATGAGGGAAGCGCTGCATCTCCTTCACACTTTCCTTCAGTCAGAGTTTCTTCCAGTCAAGTAAAGCAGTTTAGTACATCCGCTCGTCATGAAAAAGGACAGCGAATTAATTTTGATGTTTTAAAAAGGACTTGGACTACTGCTCAACTTGTATCGAAGGAGGTTCATTTTTTTATTCAGGGTGACGGTGCTTTTCCAGTATTTTTCATTTCACTCGCAGTATTGTGACATGAATGTTACTTCATTTGTGCATGCTATTTCTAAGCTTGCCTTGATCATCACAAGCGTATAGAACTTTCAACATTTTTAAACATGGATAATTATTCTGGATAAAATAAATTGTACGACAGAATCTCATTTTTTATTTTCCTTTTTTCTTTTTTTTTTTTTTTTGAACAAATGAATTTTGTTTTGTACAAGGTGTATTACTGCTTACTATTTCCTACATTTTTCAGCAGACTGGTTTATCAAACTTGGGACAAATTCATTTGCTTAGTTTTTTTTGTAATGATTTTACGGCTTTGACATTTTTCAGGACTGGGACCAGTGGCTTGTTCTACTGCGAATTCAATTTATTCGACAGAGCCCTTCCGCAGCTCTTCGCGCATGTGCTCCTTTAGCCGACGTGCATATATCGCTTGCGAAGTAATTTTATTTTCTGAAATTATTGTACATATTTTGCTCATGACCACTGTACTCCCAAAGCTTCATTCATCTTTAATGCACAAGTTGTGAATATATCAAGAAATTTTGATGCTATTTATCTTCATAAAAACTCCTTAGCTTTGAGATTTATGGAGCTTCATTTCAGAGACCTGTTCAATGCAGCATTTATGTCAGTTTGGACAGATCTGGACGAAATGCAGCAGAGAGACTTGGAGACGAACCTTAAATATGCTCTTGATTCCAGTAACCATACTGATATCATACAAACAATACTTAACCTTGCAGAATTTATGGAACATTCCGAAAAAGTAAGCTCAACGATCTTCATGCTCAAACAGTTATTTGTTGTCTGTTCCGTTTCTGAAAGTTTTGTAATTGCATATTTCTTTTGTTCTAAGAAAGCTCAGAAAAATCATTTCAGGGACCTTTACCGGTTGGTAGTGAAAGGCTCTGTAAATGTGCGGAACAGACACGAGCATACGCTAAAGCGTTACGGTATACAGAATTGAATATTCGCGAGAAATTTAACAGAGATCCAGATCCGGAACACTGCCGCTCTCTTATTACGTAAGTCTACGCTGTGGTCATTTTTTTCATTTCCTTGACATATTGGAAGCTCATTAGACGTTAATTTAATTTTAATTGACTTCGCAGAGAAATAGGTCATTTACAGTTATGCAAACAAATTGAATCTCCAAGAAGAAGCCGCTGGAATTGTGGCATTTGCTCGACAGCATAATATGGAAATTGGAGTAAGTTTATGAAACAAATCAGCTCCAGTGTGGCAAACTTCATTAGTAGAAACAAATAGTTGGAATTATGTTATTGAAATAAATGTGTGCGATAGTTATAGAAGTATGTTCTATAGTTGGCATGCAGCATTCGATAGTGATATGAATTCATTGTTGTAATAGTGACGTAAAGTTGACAATTTGGATATGCAGTGTATAGCTGAAAACGTTTGTAAGGCGGTTAAAAAACGAAATGAATATATTAGCAAATAAGTTGTATTGACTGGTACATAGACTAGAGTCAGTATCGAAGACTATTGTAGAAGGACTTCATTTGTATTTGAATGGCAGCATCCATGCGAACAGATATCTGCGAAAATTGCAATTTTATTTAAATAATATGAACAGTTGAAATTCGCTTTAACTTGATTGCTTACTAATTAATTGAATTATAGGGTTGCTTTATTTGTTTAAAACAATTTCTTAATGTTAATGAGCGTCTTGGAACTGAATTTTTTTTTATGCTGCAGAGGCAAGGACGTTGGTATGAAAAACTGAATGAATGGGAGAAGGCATTGGAGATATATAACAATGAAACATTTATTACTGATGAGGTCCGAGTTATTTTGATTGTTAATTTAAAGCGTACTTTGAAGGGACTTACCAACATAATCGATTTCGCATTTTAGTTGCCAGATCATGTAGGGTTCATAAATGCTAATGTAGTCTGAATTATTATTATAAATAAAATTTTTTAAAAATCATTAGATTCATACAAAATTTTTTTCTGATTGTATTACTACTGATTATAGCTATACGAACATCAGATGCGATGTTTAGAAGCATTAGGACAGTGGGCTGAATTAAATGACTTAGGAAAAAAAGCGTTTGCGGAAGTGGCTGCAGCAGCAAGTGCAACTAGAAGGCAAAATATGGCAATAACTGCAGCGCGAGGTAGTTGGGCAATCGGTAAGTCGTTTTCTGAAATTTGCTATGCTTTTATTTATAATAATGAAAAAAGTACCGGTGATTGTTTAGAAGACTGGGAAACAATGGATTATTATGTCAAACAGATTAATGAAAATAATCAAGACGGATCCTTTCTTCGAGCTGTGCTGGCTATTCGAAATGAACAGTACCATGATGCATTGGTTTACATTGAAAAGGTATTTGTGATTACTATGTCTGATAGACCTAGTGATTTTTGACAGATTAACTAATTAACGGTAAAGGGATAGCTTTATATTCATAAATGATCTGCTATGCACGAACATCCTATATAACATGTTCAATCCAACATGATTAGCTTTAATGCATCTCGTTTTATCCAAACTTCTTGTTATGAGTTCATAATTTATTCCTTGTAATAGCTTTTAACAAACACCCTCCCATCATAATAATGAAAAAACCATATACATTGTATTAACAACATGACATCTCGTCTAATGCATCTCGTTAATGTTAACGGAATTTTGAACTGAATTTTATAACTTAGTCAAGATTATCTATAATCAACTGCAGCTATTTAAGAAGTTACCAATGATATGTACAGCCTGTTAGTAGTTACTTTATTTTTAGGTACGTGACATGTGCGACACAGAATTAACAGCTATGGCATCAGAAAGTTATGAAAGAGCTTATGGTGCAATGATTCTTGTACAGCAACTAACCGAGTTAGAGGAAGCCATTGAATATAAAATGTGGCCTGATCGAAGGATTCGAATTGCTGTTGTTTGGAGTCGACGTTTGCAAGGATGCCGACCAAATATTGAACAGTGGCAGAGGCTGCTGCTGGTAAAGTAAGTTGTTTAGCAAAATATGGTTTGATTTGGAAAATTTCTTACTTCATGAGTTTTTGGCAATTCGTTTTTAGTCCACCTAGTCTTTTAAGGAAAAGTAAGATTGATATTAAATTACTTAAATAAATAGCTTTGTGTTTTTAGATCATTAGTGCTTTCACGGAATGAAATGCGCCCACTGTGGATTAAATTCTCATCACTTTGCCGACAATATGGGAAGCTATCAATGTCACGTCGAATTTTGGCAGATTTATTAGGACTAAAACGAAATGAAGAATTACACGAAATATCAGATTTACCAATGGATAAACCTTCATTGGTGCTGGCAGTTTGTAAACAATATTGGGCAGAAAACTTGAATGAACTAGCATGCAATACATTGGAAAAGCTGATTAATCAATTTGAAGTCGACAAGGTATCAAAAACTTAGATTTTTATACTGGAAATGAGTGAAGTAGAAACGTGTGTTTTGCAGCTTTCTTATTTGATATATTGTACTTATATGACTTTTTTTTTTAAAAAAAAAATCGTTTAGAAATTCTTGTAAGAAATCAAATTAGTAGTATGAATTTTCGCTTGTGTTGTTTTTCCTTGACTTTTTGTGCGGTTACTTTTTAAATATTTCAACAACATAATGTTTTGGATGGAAAACTAACAAAAGCTGATGTAGTACAATAGATGAGCATTACTAGTCATATTTCAGAGAGAAGTCAAGAAAAATTCGGAGATGTGCCGTTTGATGGCAAAATGTTGTTTAAAACTTGGTGATTGGTACGATATCCTACCGCAGCCAACCAAAGATATACAAACTATGAACATAAATGTCCAACAATCATTACAACCTATTAGCATCTCTCAACAATCACCGACTAATTCATCCATTATGATTAATGTACCACCACTACTTCTACCTAGTAGTTATGTCCAGATTTCTCCGCCACCAGTAATTCCACCAAGTTCACATGTGATGCAATCGTTACAGTCCAGTTTATCACAAGCTCCTTTGACGCAAACAATGAAATTCTATGCAAATGCTACAGTTTATGATCCAACTTGGTATAAAGCATGGCATAAACTTGCGTCTGCGTACTTTAATGCTGCTATGTATCAGACACAAAATTCGGTAGGCTATGCTATACTTAAATTGTTTTTCTATCATCTTTTCACTTTTTGGTTGAACATGACTCTAATAATTTAAAAATTTTAAGTACTATTGTAATGTTGTAATAGCAGTTTTCACTTCGTTTATTCAAATTTTTGTATTTATCTCTTCTCGTTACTAGATATTCATATATTTTATGAAATATGTAACTCGTGTGAAAAACAAAAAAAAAAAAAATGGTTCTTACCCCAAATAAAAAAAGTTCTTATTACCAAAAGTTACTTGAGCGGTTATTTACTTTTTGTTGGAAATAGGTCAATGGTTGCGTGTGCTTCATTTATTTTCTAGACTACCCATAATTTCATTATTTCCTTAATTTTCAGTTTTCGCCGGCACCACCACCACCGCCTTTTATCGGTGCAATGCCAAGTTCTCCCTCCTACAGCCCCTTTGGGAGCATTATTGATCGAGATATTTTATCAGATATTTTGATACCAGAACTTTATCCACAGCCGCCGCCTTCTGATGCAGTTATTGTAAATCCACCTTCTCCAGCACCTAATAAGGCGATGATCTTTTTTGCAAAACAGGCTGTCTCAAGCTTTATTAATGCTGTTACCTTGGCTGAAGGTTTAAATTTTTTAAAATTACTTTTGTTTTCTAATGGTGACTCCACAAGCTGAATCGAGCTTGTATTATATGGATAAATTTTTGAAGAAACTCGTTGAACGACGTAGGGTATGAATTTAAGTGCGCAAACTTATTAGTAATTTCATATATCCATATAATTGAAAGTGACCAATAGTTAAAGAATAACTCAGGTTTTAGGATCACGGCTAGAAGATACACTGCGATTTCTAACTTTATGGTTCAAACACGGTGATCAAGTTGAAGTTTTTGAAACTATCAAAGAATCGCTGAAGCTGTTGCCCGTTGAAATGTGGCTCGAGGTTCTTAAATAAACAAATTATTCTGAGATTTGGTTTTCAAAAATTTGCTTGAATCCACGAAAAGATTCCATTTTAAATGTATCGCTGTCCTTCATGTTTTCATTTCAGGTTATCCCACAATTGATGGCACGTTTAGATTCGAAACAAAATGTCGCTCAGTTAATCAAAGAAGTTGTCATCGACTTATCGAAAGTTCACCCACAGGTTGTGATTTTTAAAATAATTGTGCGTCACTGTATTGCTGGAAATCTGACTAGTAGTTTTTTATACTATATTGCATTTTGTATTTCAAACTTATGCTCAAGCAGTTCTTAATATCACTGACAGATAAAGTGACAGTATTCAAGAAAGATTTTGAGTTTTTGAAAATTTTTATTTCCAAGATTGGAATTAAGTTCTTTATATTTATTTCAGTCTTTGGTTTATGCCCTTACAGTGGCTGCGAAATCGGCTAATTTACGCCGTTCTGCAGTTGCAACAGAGATATTAACGATTATGAGCGATAGCCAATCAACACTTGTTGAGCAAGCAAGGCTTGTCAGTGACGAATTGATTCGTTGTGCTATACTATGGCATGAACAGTGGCATGAAGCACTCGACGATGCGTCGAGGCTTTATTTTCAGGTTAAAAATACCGACCATACTCCAGAGTTAAGTTTTAGGGAATGACTTTTAGCAAATCTGCAATCATATCCACACTCACGCACTGATACATATGCGCGCACTCTGCAATGTATTCACTTTTGCGAGCAAACTGTATGTGATTTACTGTTACCTAATGCACAAATTTGTAGTTTTTTTTTTTTTTTTTTTTTTTTTTTTTTTTTTATGCGGGAGAACATATAATGCACCGTCTCGTTAAAAATTAGTAAATGCGTAGAGCACAGTGCTAGCCTTTCTTAAGATTGTTACGTGCAGTGTGATTGCTGCATTAACTTACACTGAGTATACTTTTCTACTACTTGCTGTTTTGTGTGTCACGTGCAGAATTTTGGTTGCTAGTTGCCTTCCACAACTTTATATTGGCATTTTGTGTGAGACTATCGATATACTGATTATGTGTGGGATTGAGTTTCAGGACAAGAATGTAAAAGCTATGTTCGACCTGTTGAAACCATTACATGACTTGATCGATCGTGGTGCTACTACTCTGAAGGAACAATCTTTCAAACAAGTAATATTTCTATTTTGATCAAAAATCAGTTCCTGATGAGGATGGAAATGATTTAGCACTATAATTAGAGTTATGTGTTGAAGGAATCAAAAAAGCGTTGTTCTATGTTTTGTTTGCATGATTTCAAAGAAGTGTCGTTAGATTAACCACATGAGAGAACGTGATTCTAAATGTTTACCTTAGAATATAAAACATCAATTATATAGTCCACATTCTCACCTGAGATGAAACAAGATATTTTTATATTTACTATATTCATTCCACGGCTTTTTAAGTAAATATAAAGTAATGGGTTGACTTTTCACTTCTGTGATTTATTTTTTTAGACGTATGAGAATGAGTTGAAGGAAGCTTGGAATGCTTGTCGTTGCTATTTACGTTCACAGAACGCCAAAGAACTCAATCAAGCATGGGATCTCTACTACATTGTATTTAGGAAAATCTCAAGTCAGCTTCGTCAGCTTACATCTTTGGATCTCAATTACGTTTCTCCTAGGTGTAATATTTTCCTTTTTCTACATGAAGAGCTAATACAGTTAAATAACTAAAAAATTTAACTGATTAGGTAATTAGTGCTTTAGTTTCTTTAGCTAATTGGTCTAACTCTTCAGAAGTTAATAAAGAAAGAGATCTTCAGTGCTATAGGACTGTGCCAGGTGAGTATTAACCTTTCTAAGAAATCAAAAATGGTGCATAAAAAATATTGCAGCTAGATTGAGAATTAGCCTAGTTTTCAGTAGCGTTTGAAAATATCGTTTATGTACATTACTGGCATTTTACTGATTTCAGGCTGGTGAAAGCTAGAGATTTGGAACTAGCAGTTCCTGGAACATATGATCCAAGTGCTCCATTGGTTACTATATCCTCGATAAATAATACTTTGCAAGTAATTAATTCAAAACAACGACCAAGAAAAGTAGTTATGAAAGGTACGAAACAGATTTTCACTTATTGTTTGATTGAGCTAATAATTCTCCCTTCGTCAGAGTGACACATTTTGCCGAATTCTAACAAAGTTTTTCTATAATTCATGTTTTTATATTTATGAAACCTTTATAATATTCAGGAAGTGATGGGAAAGATTACATATTCCTCCTGAAAGGTCATGAGGATCCTCGGCAAGACGAGAGAGTGATGCAGCTGTTTGGTTTGGTCAATACCTTGCTCTTACATCAGGGTGATACATCTCGCCGAAATTTGACAATTCAAGTTGTTTACTTCCTTGTTCTCATCTTATTTAGTTTTTATCTATACCGTTCCAGTACCATAGTGTGCTTTTTCTTCTTTTGTCTTATCTTTTTTCTAGTTATTTACCGTTTTTGCAGCGCTATTCAATTATTGCCTTGAATCAGAATAGTGGTTTGATTGGTTGGGTGCCGAACTGTGATACTTTACACTCGCTTATTCGTGATTATCGGGAAAAGAAGGGGATTCTCTTATCTATGGAGCACAAAATTATGCAAAGTTTTGCTCATGATTTGGACCAGATGACTTTATTGCAAAAAGTTCAGGCATGACTTTCTATTCGAAATTTTTGGTAAAACTTTATACCTTGTGATAATATTATTAGTATCTGCTTTCTTTTAAATTCCATAAACTTTCTGTAGGTATTCCATCATGCACTTGAAATGACGAGTGGAAATGATTTACAACAGATTTTGTGGCTTAAATCTCCAAAGTAAGTTTCTGCACGATTTTAAACTGAGAGAAGCCAGTGTCTCTGTCAAAAGAAATTTCTTTTCCTTTTTGCTGGTAAAAGTGTCCTTGACCCATGCTTCATTTTCAACTGAACTACATCTTTATCATGTCATTGAACTTTTTACCTTTTATTCTTTTTTTATTTAATGGTTGAGTACAATACATACTTTTTTAATTTTATTTCTTCATCTTATAATTTCCAGTTCGGAAATTTGGTTTGATCGGCGTACCAATTACACTCGCTCAATGGCATGTATGTCAATGGTGGGCTACATTTTGGGACTTGGGGACCGGTAAATTTATAGTTATAGTTTTTGTATGTTTGAAGCAAAATGGTCAATGTGATGCTATAAGAAATAATGAATTTTTTTGTTCGTTGCAGACATCCGTCAAATCTAATGCTCGATCGCATTAGTGGGAAAATTGTTCATATTGATTTCGGTGATTGCTTCGAAGTTGCAATGACCAGAGAAAAGTTTCCGGAAAAGATTCCATTTCGACTAACAAGGATGCTCATTCAGGTAGAATTTTCTCAAATTTCATATTTCAAATAGCGAATAGCAAAGAAAACTCATTATTTCTTACATAATTTTTTAGATGGATTATTGATTTGCTGATTGATTTTGGAGAGGAAAGTAAAACTTTGTCGGAAGATTGAATTTGAGAATCCATTTCAAATATTAGTCTGCGTTAAATCCTTATTTTACAAATTATTTTTTATGTAAACTCTTTTAATCTGAATAGATTTGTTAGTAGTTTTTAGGCGATGGAAGCTACAGGAATTGAGGGTAATTATCGGATAACCTGTGAGCGTGTTTTACGGGTGCTTCGTTCAAATAAGGAAAGCCTTCTTGCAGTCCTCGAAGCATTTGTGTATGATCCTCTTATCAATTGGAGGTTGATGGAAGGTATTTCTTAAATTTTACTTATTTTCTCTGCCCAATTTTTATATAATATTTTTGTTTAATGCTGTGCAAAAGATAATTTATACATGCTCATCAGGTTTTTTCCAGCTGGTGGAAGGCGACCACCTCCCGAAACACTTCAGAAGGACGGTCAAACTGATTCCAAAGCTGAGTCATCTCTAAAGCGTATCAAGCAGAAATTAGCTGGTAATAGATTTGTTTCATTAGTTGAAGGTCAAAAATATATTTTGATATATAGTTTTAAAATATGACTGAACATAAGTGTATATTTCTCTTTCTAATCTAACTTCATGTCGGAGTGATATATGCATTTTAAAAGTTATCCGATCGTTGTACATCAGAATCAATGCAATTAAACTCACATTCTTTGTTATTCGAGAAGAAGCGCTGACATAAAAACATAGTGGGTATAAATGCACATCTAAATAATGGTCTTGTGCACAACATTAATATGATTCTTTTATTGTTTGTTAAGGTTTTTGAAATTCCATGCTGTTGATATGCTCCCAATTTATTTTATTGTTTTACTTCATAACATTATTTTTTTTTTACGTTATGTGTGTAACCACAAAGGAACTTGGATGAATATTGATTATTCTTTAATTTTCAAACATTTTAGGCCGTGATTTTAATCCAAATGTGGAATTCAGTATACCGGAGCAAGTTAGTCTGCTCATTGAACAAGCAGTCTTAGCGGAAAACTTGTGTCAGTGCTATATCGGCTGGTGTCCATTTTGGTAAATGTAACAGTCGCGTTTATTAAGATTGTTTTATTTCTATCCTTGATTAGTCTTGAGATATCGATTTCAAGAAGGATTACCTCTCCTTTGCTTGAAGTGATGCACAAAATGTCAATATGTTCTTTATTGTCTGAATATCTAATTATTTGTTTCAGTACTATACAAGGTATTTGAATACTTATTTTTGTAAATGGATTAAGTCTTACGAATTAAGTGCATATCATTTATCAAATACAGTTAGTCTGTATAGAGCTTTCTATGATTCCTGTGACCAATAATTATTATTGAATTGTTTAAATTATATTTTTTTTTTATTTTTATTTCCATGGCTCCCATTCTATTATGAACTTATGAAATCTCATTTTAATTCGCAAATTAAAAAAACCTGTGTTTGAAGTTCAAATCTTGCTCAGAAATGATAAAATAACTCATATTTTGAGACTTGTTATCTGTATTACTAATATTGATCTCATCACATTCATAGTACGATTTAGTTGTTATTGTCATTTCTTAGAATTGGGCCTTTTAAGTATTATGTTTTTTGTCTCTTTTGTCTCTTCGACAGTTGGCTTTTGAGTTGTAAATATTTGTTTGACTTTTTGTGCATTCTGTAAATTTAAACAGTAAGTGCCATTTATGTATCATTTTATCCTTGCTTCGTGAAAAATGTATAGATGAAGAAATTACTATTGGATTATTGTTTCAAAGTACATATCATTTCCATAACATTTCATTATTGGTTATAAAAACCCATTTGGAAAGAACAGTTTGCATAGGATTTGGACAGTAATAAGATGTAAACCAACCAGTTGATCTAGATCTGCAGATAGTATTTTCCATTTCTAGTAAGCTATGCAAGGGAAAGGTCAGATATATATATATCAAACCTAAAGAAACGAGAAATTGTTGAATATGCGTCACGAGAGGGAAGATAAAGTAATTTCAGTCATTTACAAATTCGCATCGAAATCAAAGAGAAGTGGCTCCGTTTTTCAACAAGATTTCGGAAATTTGGTTTAAAGGTCTTCATTTCTAAAAAAAAGAAGCATACCTTAAAAGTTGTTATTCTGTTATTCTAATGGGCAATGTCGAATCCCAGTTCAAACTTAAATCCAGGCTTCGAGGATCTATCTATATTACATATTTGAGAAGGTCGCAAACTGTAACGGTAATTTCCTTCCTATTCGCCTTTTGTTAAAAAAAGTTCTATTTCTGAATCAAAAATATCCGATCAGTTGCATCTAAGCCAAGTTACCCACGAGTGAGAGAAAAGAAAAAACTTTTTACTGGTAGAAAAACAACGTAGCATGGAAGGTATGAGGTATGGCCGATGTCATATCTTTGAAACAATCAATTTTGCAACAAAAAAATCTAAATTACCAGTAAATCGAGTTTGTAATATCGGTGGTGACCCACTCTTATTAATAAAATCCACTCAACTTTATCTTTAAAAGAATTTTTTCTACTTTCTTCTAGAAGTTCGTGTTTTATATTTATATTTTATACATATTTTTCAACCGACTGCTCTTTTTAATGATCGTTTTATCTTATCAGTCATATGAATAAGCAGCGCACAATGAATTACATAATGATGCATTAAAGTATTGTGGTTGGATATTTTGTTAACGAAATAATGTTTAAGGTATGTATAACAAACCCGGAACATAAAGAACACCGATAGCAAAGTAATAGGGAAAGTCAAACTAGTTACAAAATTAATTTAGGTCATGAAACAGAAGGATTTTATTAGGAAATTATTGAAGCCAAGTTTGAAAGATGCACAAATATCTCACCATTTAATCTAATAGAAACAGACTGTTAGAAAAGAAAGTATTAATATTTAGAATTACTGAGATTAAAATGCTCCCCACTTCATAAATTGTGCAATTTCATTTCAAAAAAAAAAGAAAAAATGGTTGATGTAGTAAGTTTTCGGTTAAATTTGTTTTTAAAATAAGACATAATTGTCCTTAGAGATTTTTTTTTTTTTTTTTTTTTTCATTATTACTTTTAGAAATTCAAAGATTGTCTCGAACAGAGAGGAACGGAGAAAGAGAAAAAGAACGAAAGAGGATAAGTTAAGCATTTTGAAAAAAAAAAATATATATATATGTTTTTTTTTTTTTTAAAGAAATGAAAGATCAACAAATGGTCGATTGTGCTTAAAAATGACACTTTTGAAGATGAAACAAATACCATAAATGTGGGCAATGATAAATTGTTCTTATTTATGTCCCATTGAAGAATGGATCAACTCTTGTGTTTTTCGGGAACAATCCATTTTCCAAATTTCTGTTCTTTTTTATAAGCCCCGAGTAGCACGCTCATTTAAAGCATTAGCTAGTACAGCTATCCTGCCTCGTAGTTCCAGGTCATTTAATGCATCTTCATCAATTGGTATCAGGCCCTCTTCGACCATACTGGTAGGTACTGTGATCATTTCCTCTGCTGGTATCAAAACATACTACAAAATGAAATTCTGTAAAAAAATTTTCCTTTCATTTTAAGAAAATAAACCGGGGAACTAGACTAATAAAAAACTAAACTAATAATTCGAGCAATTCGTAATAGTGACGGTGATAGCTGATAATACAGTGATCATTTTGATACAGTGGTATTGAAAAATAATAATGCAATTATTACTTACTTCAGATAAATATATTTCAATATTCTATTGTGTACAGTTTAATTTTTCTCTTATTATTATCATTGCATTGCACATTATTTTTTTAATCTGTACTAAAACCCAACCTTGGGTACCTCTTCAATTTCTCCATCGGTTTCATAAACGTCATCTTCAGGCAACTCGATAAACGGTAGTGCAATTTGTCGTTGATCATTAGTAAGCATGGTTAATTCGTTTTCACTGTTACCGATATCCGCTGTATACGGTAATATCGGTTGTCTAACTAAATTGCGGGGTAATTTGACAATTTGATATTCACCAACGGGTAAATCAGGATCATATCGATCCAATTGGCCCTGCACAATTCGTGCCAAAATTGCCAGTTCTAAGTCTAAAAATATGAGATTTTATACATTTTCTAAATCTAAAAATATGAAATTTTATACATTTTTTATTTCCAGAAACTAAATAAGAACAAACTTAATTTTTTTTTGAAGACTCTCTACTAATTAGTAATTTTTATTTTGACTGAGATTAATGAAAAGAGGTTTTTAAATAGAAATAATTCTAAATGCCGGATGGTACAACAATTTTTATAACGATACCTGAGTGTATTTTAGGTTAAAGTTTTTTCAAAGCTTCCTTGAGTAGATGCAACAAAATTTTTTTTCAAAATTTCCATCAACTTTAAATACAGCAAATTTGAGAATACTACTAAATTTAAGAATATTCTGTAAATAGTTACTAGTGATAGTGCTTGGGAAAAGTGCTACTCCTCCCGACTAATTTTTATTGTTAGGGTCAAAATTTCGGAATTCGAATTTACTCTTTCGCTAGATTTGACCGCAGTCGATGTCATGAAATAAAATATAAATAATAATTTAGTGAAAAGCATGAATAAAATCATTAAGTTGTACGTAGTTCATTACACATAGCAACTAATTATAATGTGATTGTTGAGTCACTTATGTGAGCATTTTTAGACTTTCATATTTTTTCCCAACGTTCGGTCTTCTGTTCTCCAATTTATTCTAATGCGTAGTACTCAAAATTCAAACCATCAAGTTGATCAATCAGTTCATCATCTCCGTCAACGCCATTATTGTCAACATTACTGCTGTCACCTTTAACAACTTCATGCTTCTTACGTATTTCGGCAATTCGTCCAGTTGGTAGTCTTATTCTTTCCTCTAACTGATAGCTTCGTTTTTCTCTGTTTACTCTGTTACCTGGAAATAATTACTATCTTTTCAATGAAAATTCAAAAAAAAAAGGAATTAAGTAATTCCTTTTCTTCTGCAATTATACATGTACTACATTTATTTATTTATTCAAGTTTTAACTATAAAGTTGGAGTTAATGTAAGATTTCTGCTTTATATTTTTTTTACTTCACTTAAATTTAAAACATTTGCTCTTAATAGCACAAAACTAATCATTCATTTCAGATTTTTAACCATAACTAGAAAATGTGTAGTGAATGGATCACAAGGAATGTATATGCGTAAATGCAGAGCCTTGTCCGAAATTGAGTCGGTTTTTTTTTTTTTTTGTTCAGCATGGAAACAATAATGAATTCTCTCACATTGCACTCCATGCATTTTTAATACTAAATTGGATTTTTTATGATTCGTTGACGATGAATAGAGGTGACAAAGAATTTCAATTAGAATGTGTAAATACGATTGTCCCTATAATGGTAAATTTCTCTAAGCTTGGCCTTTGTATCTTTAGATGCTATATAATCACAATTATGCGAAAAAGATATGATAATAATTTGATTTTAGGACTTGAGAAAATACAGAATTTCTGGACAAATCGAATTAAAATTTACTTCAAAAATCATTATTGATGTTTTATTCAGATCAAAGGGAAAGAAGAGAAATACTGCGTACAGTGTGAGATTATACTAGCTACACTAAAATGATATAGTGAGTAATGCAAATTCGACGGTATGATTTATCTTTTTATATATCAGTTTTTTTTTTTTTTTCTTGCATCAGAAATCTTTCACAATTCCATTATCATTAATATGAAAACAGTATTAGACAAATTGGAAATTATAGTGATTTCAGAATGCGAATAACAAATCTTTATTGATTTAGTATACATGATGAATGTAGAAAACCAGGATGAATATGGAAGTGATTGGAATTATCAGGAACAATATTTTGTCCTGGATAAGATGTGTGTAATCATTTGCATGTTTCACTTATTGTACTTTACAGATGATAGGCACATCAAACTGTTGCACCCTTTTACTTGCAAAATCCTTTAACCTTTTAAATGTTACTGATCAGAAAACTTACTGAGACGTAGCGGTAAATGTCTGCTTGTTGATAACTGGTAATTATTGCTCTGAAAAAAGGACTGAATCATTAGAACGGGAATTCACTCAGGATACTGGTGATCTTTTGGTATGAATTTTTTGATGTTCTACTGCGAATTTCTAAGCTTTTTGTTTTTTATATATTTTTCACACTTTACTTTTAGCTGAATTGAAATAACATTCAGATCTTTTGTATCCCATGAAATCCAGATAAGATCGTAAAATTTTTTTTTTTCAAAGAAGAAAAATGCTTACCAAAAAAAAAAAATCCCAAATTTTGCAATTTTTCGTAGCTACTAAATAAGCAATGAAGAGACTGAATTGAAAATAGAAATTTTTCTCTGAATTCATACTTCTCTATAAAACTCCAAATTGTCCAAGCTTTTCAATTCAGGCTTAAAAGTCTTCGACTTCTATATTTAATAAATTTAATAAAATAACTTACCAATGGCAATGACAAGATGATGACAACGCACAGTGATAACAATGTTAGTGATATTAGTGGTGATGGTGATGACATTTTTCTTTTGTTTTTAAATGGAGAAACAAAGACGCATATGCAGAGACAAGCAGAAGTACGCAGGCATAGGCTGGGACAATTTCAGGACTGAAGTGATGACTTTGAAATGAATGGGTGGATCTTGATGGTATGTATATATCCATCTATCCAGCTTTCTTTTCCCATTAGTTGATCCCATAAGATATAAATAAGTCATACTTGAAGAACTGGCAGGCTCGGACAAGCTTTGAGCCTACAAATGTCTGCTGCTTACTTCTTTTTCCCTTTTTTAAAGAAGCATAAATGCCCTAGCATACTTCTAACAAAATCGAACAATGAAGAGCAATATATCGAGGAAATAGCCTACCGTATGTTATTGCTTAATTGGAAATGCATCCGAAAGTATATATTTTGTGTTTCGTGCTTTTCCTTTCATTTCATTGTCCGAAGGAAGAAAGGTTATCAGATTAAAGTAAATACCGCACCTAAAACAGTGATTTGTCAATTTTGAATTTATGGAACTTTAATTCTAAACACTGGCACATCGCCAAAGGTATATTCGCGATATTTATATCGAGTGATGCCTAGTATCAAGCAGACAAGGCAGACCACTGCCTCGTACGACACAACTCAACCTCCATTTTCAAAGCCAACAATCTTGCAATTGCTACACTTCCCATCTCATAAATTCCTCCTCTGCAACACTTTGGCAGTTCACCAGAAATAGCATCCAGCATTCCTGCGCAAAATGTAATCGAGTTCTCATCAAAGAAATCTAAAGATTGCTTCAGTGAAAACGATCTACAAATCCAAGAACTATTATCCACGAAGAGGGCTGCTCACATAGTACGCCTACCCTCCTTTCAAGCAAGAAAAATACCTTTTCGTCCTGCATACAGTAGAATATTTTTCCAAAGCCGTGTAGCATTTAAAATCTTTAGAGCATCTGAAATTAATGAAATTCCACCGAAATCATGGAGATTGTTAAGTATTTCATGCTAAACTCCACGAGCTTATTGCAAACTGTTGAAACTTTCAAGATTTCCAACATGCAATCACCATCCCTCTATATAAGAAGGAAAAAAGACCGACATCAAACTATAGAAGTATTACTTTACTCTCTGCAGCTGATAAAATTCTTGCAATATTTCTAATAGGCTAGGGCTAGTGACAACTAAATGACAGAAGTAGTGACTAATGTGCCTTCAAAGCTAATAGAAAATTGCGAGAGAAATATGAGAACAAAGGATTCTACGTAACTTACTTCTCCGATAGAGAAGATGGCAAATCTTGCAACGATTAGAATATTTCTCCTGCCCTAACCCTAAGTTCTTCAAGATGATCAATGACCAGTGCGATCAATCAAATATAGTGGTTTACTTTCTGAGTCTTTCTCGATAATGAACGAGGTAACCAGTCGTATTCACATTACTTTTTCAAAGAGTCACGGCAGAAAAAGCTATTTACATTCATTATTGACGGAAGCCCATCCAAGAAAGAAGACATCAAAACTTCACATCACCTTATGCAGAGCTTCTGGACTAAACGTTAGTTTGAAGGAAGCAGTCCTATATTAATGTCATCACAGACAAATTATTCAGGGCAAGCTTATTTAATCAGTCCAGCATTCTACCTATCCTAGGCATGTCAAGATTTAGGATGTAAGATTGCCTACCTAAAATTTTTATAGTAAACTTGCCACTGACTACCACAACTATGCCTCAGAGAAGAAGTGTAAGTTTAAAACACATCAATTACCGTCAATACTCTACTTTGGACTCTAATCAAGAGACACATGGACTTACCACCCTACAACTGCCACCATTTTCGAGAACGCACAGACAATCTGTTTCATGAAGATAATGGATTAAGAATTCATTATGAGTTTCCATTGTACATTTTGCAACAGAACTTGCCTATCCGCATTGATCTTTCCAGCCAAATGCATTTTTACGGAAGCATTTACGAAAACCATGCCAGATGATTTATGAAACTTCTAATTCCAAACCTAATAACCCGAATTATGACAATAGGTCTGTTCTAATTCCATTCAAAGCAATGAATTTTAATCAGGTAAATGTACCGAGGCCTTCTGACTTGATTAAATAAAATCCTTTTATGAATGTAAAAGTAACGCAAAATAAGACAAAAACAAACAATGTAGCATATGCATTACAGCAGTCCTTATTTTAAAACACGCTTCAAACCAAAACAAGTACATTTGGCAAAGTGCTGCAAACCAAATTTTAGATGCATCACGCTTTTTCATCTTAGCTTATTTCAAAGCAGCGACTTAGAAGTGAAGGTTTACCATTATTCTCAATCTTTCCAAACAATCAGTCAGTAACTTTAAACATCGAAAACTGCAAATGGAATACCTCACGCTGCTGCCTCTTTCCCAGCTTCACTACTTTTTCACAAGACCTCAATGAGATTTGCTTCTTCTATGTTTTTTATAAGCAGGAAAAAGTATTTTTCTTTGTATTATCATCCGATATTTTAATTTCAATGAGCTGGCTAAACGCAGACATTGCGACATATTCTATTCTCTTAAGAAATTTCAAATTCAACCTTCCAGATAATAAAGTCACTCAATAAGCAATTACCCTTTGAAGCCTTTTTCAAAGACCTTCCACCTTTGCTTTTTGGAAGGGAAAATGATGGTTGAAAACAATTCACTCTTCATAAATATTAGCAGCAATATTTTATGCGATATTACATATTTCTTTTACCAATAAAATATTGTAAATAGCAATTCACCACAACAGAACAAACTAGGATGATTCACACGTGATATTCTGAAATCCACCTTCGTTCTGTAATTATAGCTTCCGTAAACTCCGAATGGATTGAAGAATAAGGTAGAGAGCTAAAACAAATCATGAGAGGTATTTCTACAATAGAAGTGGAACTGGAAGGTTATGCTCCTCATGTATGTTCATACCGTAAAAAAGAATTTATTCCGATTTTTATGCTCGAAAGTAAAAAAATTATTATTAAGCAACTAATAAATGGAAATGAACAAAGAATCATCTTTTTCGAAGACATGAAATCATACTACAAATATATATGTTTGTCCTCTAAATAACAAGACTTCGAAATAAGAAGAATTCAGATATGAATTATAGGAGAGAGTAAATAGCTATTGCAAAGAAAAAGTTACCAAATAGACAGAATTAAAACAAAAAAAAAAAATTAAAACTGCACGACATAGAATGATGTATCAATATCTGGTAAACGTTTCTAATTTTGTGCAGATTCATACAAGTAAGGCAAACCTCTAGAATCCTCCACTAATCTAGCTCAATGTGGCATAAATTATGCCAAGTTACCACCTTTACATAACAGACAGTTAATCATTTGGTAGCATTTAATTTATATAGCAAAAATATAGCAAATTTTTGTTCTACACACAAAATTCATGTAATTCCTAAAGTCCAATAATTGAAAATAATTATGCGATAAATCCAAATCAAATAATTCATGTTATTCTAAGTTATCAAACTTCTTGCCCAATTCACACCAGCCAAATAGGCTCTTCCAAATCGTGACTTACAGGTTAGAAGAATTTCTTAAAATTTGCTTTTCAAATGAGGATACATAAACAAAACCGAAAACAACAGATAACAAACATGAAAAAAGATTTTTTTTGAAGTCGTTTGCATCTTTGTATCTCTATGAAGAACCAGAATACATTGGCCCAATGAACCAATCACAACAAAACATGTCCCCACATACTTCCGATAAGCATCGTGCGCAACCCACACCTTTTCAGGAGTTCGCATAAAAGTCCATCATCCATGCATCGATAGGTGAAGAAGCAATTAACAACATGATGATGTCGTTAAGTAGCATTACAGTGTATAATCAAGATTTTACCTGCTTGTTGACGAACTCATTTTTGGAAGCATAAATGACTTCCAGATGCTTTGGTTTTGAGTGATGTTACGATATGAGGGAAACGCCCACTTTATTTGTTCGTGTGGGCAAAGTCGACCACGTAAACGAGATTTTTGCCTGTAATAAAGTCAGCATAATAAATTATGCATAATTAATAACTAATATTTCTCACAGCGCGCTGCTATAACACAATAAATAATTCAGATGCCTCGTAATAAGCAATCATGAGAAGTAATATTGAAAGCTCTGCTGAATAAACTTGTGTGAAGTAGTAATCAGAGAATACCTCGTTTAGCTGTGTAAAGCCAATTTTCGCTGGGCATTGCAGAGTTAGTTGTCACTTACGAAAGTATCAATTTAGAATAAGCAACGTTTCAAGTTATATATATATATATATGTAAACCCTCTACTTTACCAGTAATGAAAAGTAGTAATTACAATTAGCTTATTCAATGGTCCTAAACCTTTATTTGAAAGGAGGAAAGAATCATCATCAAATAACTGAAAAACAAATTATTGTTTAAAAGCAAAAACAAAGTACTCACCTTATCAGAACACAAACCTGCTTGATAAAAGCAGATACATTACACCCATGCCGTCCACCCCTCATACATCAATGCCAAATTACTTATATCTGTCGCTTGTTGAATTAATAAGTCAATCTGAAACAAAAAAATATAAACAATGCTAATGAATCCCAAAGCTTTCAATGAAACTCAAACTTCGAAATTTAGCATACCTGTTCTGATGGTGTCAACGGTTCGCTTACAATGTTTGCACCAATTTTTGTATTTTCGTTTTTATTGATAACCATTCCTTCTAATTTCATCCGTATTCTTTTTGAAACATGTTTACCATGTAAATTCTGCTGCTGCTGTCCTTCAAATCCATTGATATACCAAAAGAATTATAATCATTTAAAATTATCATTTATCATTTAAAATAATCCTACCTTTATGATGTTCCACTGGTGAAGGCTTGCCATTGCAGGGAGGCAATTCTTCTCTTTCTTTCACTTTTTCCAGCAATAACAAATTGTCGTAGATACTGAAATGTCATTCAAGCGAGGTGCAGTGCAGAATGAACTGTTTGCAGAGAGTTATTTCAGCTTTTAGAAATAGAATAAAAAAAAATATTTACGATTCTCAAACTTCATTTATGAAAAATGAAGACAAACCTTGGGATATTGTCAATAACAGACAAAAAAAGATCGATGCATGCAGCACAGTTACTGTATGGATCATCCAATAACTTAAGTCCTTTGATCAGTGGTTCACTGAATAATTCTTTGTATCGTTGCAAGTAAATAGCAAACGATTCATTTTTCTGAAACGCTTGGAATTCACAATAAAGGAGTAAAAATCAACAAGTAATACTATTTTGATACTTGTTTTCTTGTGAATACCATATAAAAATATGAAGACTTCACAATAAAAAGTGCACTTCACAATAAAATTAGCGTCTCAACTGTAAAGTCCTTACCAAGCGATATTATCAACTGACGAAACTCTTTCTTATTTTGAATAATTATCATTGCTAACTATTGCTCGATAGTTTACTAATTCATCTCTGACAAGAACGAGCAACAAACTAGTAAATTTTTCATTAAAGCATTTTACCACTGTGTTATTGTTTGCCTAAATCCATGTAATATATATCCATTTCATAATTAAAATTAGAAGTTTTCTTTCAAAATTTCAAGCATAGAAATATTCAAATCATCGACTTTCTATCTAAATCAGATCTAATAGAAAGAAAATTCAGACTTGGTATATATGCTTGCTAAATCAAAACTTGCATGAGCGAAAGAACGAAGCAGAGGACGTATATCATGCATCATAGAATGATGCTCTGCAACTGCCTTTTTCAAATCACGTTCAACTGATAGTTTCTCCACTTCCAGTTTATTTATTTCCTCTTCCCAATTCTGAGGTCGACTTTCCGCATCTTTCTGAGTATTTTCGTACATTTTCCTTAGTATGCTTATAATAGACGATAGCATACATATAAGATGATTTCTGCAAAAAAAGTTCTGTTAATTGGTTTCACCGCGATCAACTTATAACCGAAAATTGAAATAATAATTCAATAGCCTGTGTCAAAACTGATCAAAAAATAATATATATAAACATGGAATGCTCGACAATTTCTTAAAAAATGCGATGGCAATAGTCATATAAAAATATGTTTTTAATCAACCTGTTATCAAGCCATGAAGAAGAGAGTTCTCTGGCACGAAGAGCCAACAGTGACAGAGTCATTGCATGCAAAATATCAGAATGGCCATCTACTACCCCTAAAGAAGCACCTAATAATCAACAACAATGTAAACTTATTAATCTGAAAATGTATGTTTTTCAAGACCTTTTTTCATTTTAACAGTAATAATAACAGATGATATGATTATCAAGAATATGTGTAAAACTCTGAACCGTATACGGCAATGAATGTCGCAATACCAATCATTGACTTGGAACCGAGATCATCTTGTGCAGCAGCCCAATCAACTAATGGGTCGTAAACAAATGCATCCAGCATCGTCAGTAATATTTCCTTCCCAGCACGGAGTTTCCTTAACACATTTTCGGAGGAAAGTCGAAAAGTCCCCTTAAAACTAAGCTATTTTTAGTAAAATTGGGACCCAATTTGCAAAATCCAAGTTTACCTTTTAATTAGGAAGGTGAACTTTAATTAAGAATGTAATAAGAATAAATAGGCTTCCAATAAGTTACCAAATCTAAATTAAAATACACAGAAAGTTCTACACAAATATGAAACCGAATTTAAAAATTTACTTCAATATCAGTAGGACCAAGAGCTCGAACAATATTTCCTGTTAAACGAAATGGTACCATTTCTGGTACGCGCAAATTCCGTCCCTAAAAAATTTTTCAGTTTTCTAACATTATTTAGCTTTCTTCGTCAACGCAGACAAAAAAGACATCAATCAATATATAAATAATATCGTGTAAATTCCTAATAATAAAGAACTTTGTCATACTTTGTCGAAGCAGACATTGTAATCGATATGGACCACATGTCCAAATTCAAAATTAACTAGAACATTATCCAGATGACGATCACCCAGACCCAGGATACTGCCTAACACCGACATAACTGCTGTTGATCGAGCAAACCTTTCAGTGACTCGAAACCATGTATCTGAACTACCAGCTCGAAGCCAGAACTCCCTTAAAAAATCACACATCTCAATCATGTGTAATGTTTATTCACCAAAGTTTGTGTCACTTCTGTTTTGTTAAGTTAAAGCTAACATGTGTCCTGAAACATATTTGAAACCACAAAAAAAATTACCAAATGTTTCGCAAATTGAAGTAATAAGCCATAAATAAAGTTCTAGATTAAAAAATAAGCTCGGTTGAACAATGTACCGTGAAAGTAGATCTCGAGGAGTTTCTTCGATTAAATCTTCAACAACACCTTTTAACACAGGATATGGCCATTTTTGGCGATCAGTGATGGATTCTTTTGGGATTTTCTAAAGTTCTACAGATAACAGTTGTTCAGAATGCTTTACAAAATAACAATGATCAAGAAACCCAAAAGTTTTAAGCAAAATTCAAGCAAAACAGACTCGTATCAACTTAACGCAAATAGCTCTGAAGTACTCAAATCTTCAAGAACTAATGAGTTCTCAAACGAAATTGAAGCAGCTGCAAACATGGCACTGAAACCGAGAATATCTTAATGAGATGAATATGAAAATTAAAAAAAAAAAAAGAATATTGCGAACTTACGTTAGCTTGGAAAGCTGCCCTGAGTTTTCTGAAAAATAATGCACTCGGTCTTTCGACCTCATTTATTTTCTGGTTTGCTATATTTTCAGCTGCTTTACGAAGCTGCCATTTTCGATAAACTTGAAAGATAGGCGTCGCTCCTTCAACCCATTCGATAAGGCCTGAACGAGAGCCAAGAGGGATGACCGAATAATTTTCGGCTATATAAGATGGCCAGTCAGTTTCCTTTGTCGAAAGCATCAAGTTACAAATACGCAATAACTGCATAATGCGTTCGTCCAAATGTAAATCTTCCTGTCCTTTGAAAAGGAAAGGATAACTGCAATGCAAACTTTTTTTTTTTAAGAGAATATGTTCAAAATAATAATTTTAGAAAAACACTTCAATTTCTAATTATGAATTTCTGAGCATTTCATTGCCATACCCTCATCATTGAAAAAACTAAACCAAGCTGACCAAAAAATATGAAAAGCGACAAAAACATATCTCAACAATAGCTGTTCATAAAATCTTGATGAAAAAATCTCCGTGATTTATAAATGATCTCAAAAAAACGCACTTATTTCATACATGCAGTGGTCATAATTGCTAACTAAATACACTTTTTAACGGAATAATCACACGAAATGCAAAAACCTACTCCTTCCCATCTGACCCATGAAACACAACTTTCCTCGGTCGCGTTTTAGTTGGTAGTATTACTGTCTGCTTGCTAATTCTTTCCAGCATTACAACATCACAGAAATTCTTATGTTCTTGCCCAGGAAGTGGCACCTGTAACTATCAAAAATTCATAACCAAATCACTCAATGTAAAAATCTGCGTTAATAATACACTATTAAAGCTATTTCTTTGGCTCCACAAGATGTCATATAGTCCCGTGAAAATGAGTCCTTCCTTTTTACCCTACAGACCATTAGGAACATGTTGACTTCATTCCTAACGAAAAAAGTCAAAATGCATTAAACTAAAATCAATTAAAAAACCAAATCAGAAAGCCTAAAAAATGCAAGTGATTGAAATGAAAACAAACATGTGTTTTATTTAATGCAGTAAGACGTGGCGAAATATCAGCCATTTGAAGAAACACGAATGATCGCCTGTTTGCCCGCTGGTTTAACTGCGTTAATAACTACAAGTCAATGTTATATACAATGTTAAGAACTGTTCTAATATATTATTTAAACCTAATAAGATGTATAAGAAAGAGAAAAATAACAGAACTCCTATTTTTTTGTATGTGCCCGTTCCTTCTCCTTCTTAAAAAAAAAAAAAAGATTTAGGAAGCACTTGAAGAAAAGTTAAATTTTTTAAAACCTATATAAGAATAATCTCAAATTTCGATAACATTAAAAAAATCATGAATAAATAATTACTAAATCCTATCGATTCTAATAATCAGTTATATTTACAACTGCTTCATTATGCTCACTTTTCGAGAGTTATAAGAAAATGAAAAATTACAAGTTTGAATGAAGCCCAGGCTTGGCGTGGTTCTGATTTATTCCGTCGAAGAGTTTTCATAGCTTCTTCAATAGTCGCAAGGTATGCATCTTGAAATTGCTTTTCATTTATTGTCACAGGTACACTAGTGCACGTTTTTTCGTATAAGTTCTCGACAATACGGTAAACCTGGAGGAAATTGTTTTAAACTGGAAGCAATTTTTAAAGAGTGCAAATTTTGTTACACTTTATCCCACTATGGTTTCTACTCTTCCAACATGTTTCATCCTATTAGCATTTGATAAATGGTAATGGAACAGAAAATGCTAGATCTCATTTCATATTTCAGTGAAGTACTAAAGATTTTTAGAGTTTCTTTCTATAGATAATACGGAATAGGTACAGCACCTAGCACAAATTCATTGCTAAAGGAACACGTGCAAAAGCAAAACTTTTGCTCTGAATTTCAGTAAATCAATTTCTTAAACAAAGACACCTGTATCCATATTGCCTTAATTGAAATCCTAATTTCAACCCCTTATTTAAACCAAATATTTAATTTGAATTAAATGTCTAAGATAAATGTGCAAATGTATTACCAAAGATGTAAATATGATTGTCTTCTCGTGAATAATGTCCTTCTTTTCATCATCACTTAAATGTGTATTCATCAGTGTTTTCATCATTTCTTCCTCAATTTGCAAAATTCGACGATTCATTTCGAGATCCAAATTTGTCAAAACAAAAGTCCAGCGCTCTTCATGCAACATGTCAATCCTTTGCAATTCCTATAAACCAGTTATGTCTTAAATTAATCCACCATGGCAGTCCAATTTCCTATTTAGCCACAGAATAACAACCTTAACGAATTCAGTAACATCCTTGACAAGATCGGGAAACAACGCTTGCATTCGAGTTACAATACGTTGACAACATTCAAACATTAATGATCGATCCTGAAGAATATTACATCAATTTTCTTGTTTAATTTATAACATCATTAACTTCCTACTTCAGCCAAGTTTTATTTTTCGTGATTATAGTCATTTCGTAATAATTTATGACTAAATATAAAGTGTCAGTTCATTAATTCATAATAAACCTGATCAGCACGTTTCTTCTTCTCTTCATCGATAACATCAACGAAATCATTTTTTTCCACTTCACCATTGTCAACGTATTCGTTGTGAATAACAATGGGTTGAGTAGTACCAACTATTGCCGGATAGCAAAGTGCATGTGGTGATGTAGCTGCAATTCTTTCCAGTATAGTGCAAAGCGTGTCACGCACTGCACGCACTGGATGATTTAGTCTCGCAAATAACTGTGGAAGAATATCTGAAAAAACAAATCACTTGAACATAGAAATTATGCATCTATGAAAGAAATAACTGTTTCTGCATTTTTAAAGTAAGAAAGTTAAATTACTATTCTTTTAGAAATCCAAAAAAAAGATCCGATGGCTGACTTTAGAAACAATAATTATTAAAGCAGCACAGAAAAAAAATATATCTCTAAAACAGGATGCAGATTAAAAAGTAGTTAAACCATCTACATTCCAGCAAAATAAAATTGCTAATCTTCCCACGCTATCTTTAAGGGACTAGATTTATTAAGCACAGTTTAGCTTAAGATATTTAAACTCAATACGTGATAACACTTTCCAAATCGTTACCTTTCCACATCAATTCGTTTACTTGAAGCATTTCAGTGAGAATTAAGTGATGCAAAGCATCGTACTGTTTTACCAATAATTGTAAAATTCGTAAAGTTGCCATCACTACTCCAATTGTTCCCTGTAGTGTAAAATTGATGAGGAAAATAGTGCAGTTCATTATGAGAATTCATTAGCTGCTAAATTTTACGAATATCAACCTCTTTTGCTTCACGCCCATTTACAGCAATGTAAGCGAAGTATGAATGTGCTGCACAATTACAAAAAGCCAAATGACGTGAATTTGCTCCTTTCCAAATTTCTTGAACGATGCTTCTCGGACCAAACAGCCTGAAACTTATTTACTCGAATTTACTGCATAAACTGTTTTTTTGGCTACTGAATTAGAATTTAACCACTTCTTCAGTCCTAATTTTAAGAAAATCTGAGTTATAGAACGTGTCTGAATAGTCGCATTATAAAATAACAGTTATGTTGAATGTTGATGAAATATAAAACATTGTTAGGATGAATTATATATATATATATATATATATATATATATATCACAACTAACAAATCGCATGTCTGTTCGTTAATTGAATTTCCTACAAGAGCCTTGCAATCCGGTAAAATTGCAGCTAAGCTAGTACACTTCTGCATTGTTTGCAACAGATTTTCTACAACCGAATCATCTACTGATGTGCACGCGTTCTGAAAAATAATTTTAATGCAGTTTCATAATAATTATCTGAAATAAATTCAACAAAATGAAATTAAAAGAGATGTTTGCTTTCTGACTGCTGTAGTAATTAAGATGTCCAATATACTTACAGTTCAAGAAATTCCATCACGAAATGATGATATTGATGAATCACCAAATCACCAAAGTAGCAGATGAAGTTCTTAATTTCAAGAATAAATAATATTACTTCAATAATAAATCGGAACATTCCTCCTCCTAACTTTTAGAAAACAATGGAAACAACTTTTAGGAAACAATTTTAGAAAAAAAAAAACCTTAATCTGCCATTTCATTGTGTCACACTCTTCACTGATGAATGACAATCTAATTTCATTGTCAGCATCAGTTGCTCTTTTAAATGCCCAATTACCTAGTTCCAGGTGAGCTTTCGCCAAATGTGGTGATAACTTACATGATGTACTCAAAAGAGCACCAGCAAGTGAGTCAATGATGCCTGAATGATGGAAGAAAACTGAATAGTATGAAGAACTCCAGAGGTACAGGAAAATGAATTAATTTGAGATTTTCAAATTCATAATCATAACTTCAATTAAACTAATAGATATGCTAATTACTACGAATTATTCTGCTGAAACTAAATCTCAAATATTACCAGATGGGCCAAGTACTGGCAGTCGAGATTGTTCAACTCCAAACATATGAAAAACGATACGAATCGAATAGCTCATAGCTACCGGCAACAAACTAGATTCCATTTGCAACCAACGCGCAAGCTGAATGATTGCTTTTGCAGAAACTTTTTGTTCCTGATGATGGTTATTTGCCACAATATTGGGTCTTATTGATAATACAGCTGAATCCTGAAATGTAATATTTCACGTGTAATTGACATGAGTGATCGATCAAGAGAATGAAGAAAATTGATGGATCAAACGCTTCCATAACAGCCTCTCTGTAAAACACAAAAAAATCAAATAATATTGTAGCACCTAATCAATATATCAGCAAATAATAATTTGTAATAGTTTACATAGTTTTTGTATAATTGACTACCAAAAGATTACTTGCAACAGAGTGAATACAGTTCAAAATCTATCAAATGTAAGTGATGTATAATCGTCAGAAAATAGTAAATTTTATACACTTCTGATTTTTATTAATGACATTGTAAGATTCTCACAATAATTTGAAATAAATTACAAAAAAAAGAAAGAAAAACATAAGGAAAAAACTACTTCAATGGTAGCATGATTAAGCTGCTGTGTCAGAACAGCAATGAGAGTATCTGGCGCTACAGTTGGTGTACCATTGAACATCAAATTACTTTTATAAATCAATCGGTCAATTTCATCAGCTACAGCGTTCATTAGTAAGGAAAACGCTTTTCCTCGTAAAAAAGTACGAGCACGGTCAGTATCCGCCATTTCTGACATCGACCACATCTAAATAGTTTCCTCAAAATTTTGCTAAAAAATTCGATTATCATCTAAGATAGTAAATCGTAGTCCTGCAAACTTTGAAATCATTTTTTGCATCCAAGCAATAGTAAGAGTAGATGAAAAATTTTTCAAATGTATTCACCAAACATCTACTTACCATTTTCGATAAACCATAACTGGACGTAAGATTTTCGAAATTGTATAGTCTCTGCTGCATAGACAGCTGTGCAGTTACATTATTTGTTAGCTTGTTTTCCTTATCAGTTGCTCCACTGATCCAGTTTCCTTGCATTCCCTACATAGATATTATTTTATTAATTTCTCTAATAATATTGAGGTTAATTCAAAAGAATCATTATTCTGCACGTCGAGATTGTTAAAGCTTGGTTTTTGGAAAGTTACTACTCATCAAAAGAATCATCGCTTACACGCAAAATACTTAGTTGGAAGCTGTCAAGTGTTGGAAGGCGTTTATTGTAATGTATTTTGATATGCTTTTCTGCCAATCGATAATTTTTTGTCTTTCGAGCTAGTCTCGCCATTTCGAGATGATAAGCTGCTTCGTTGGAAATTATTCGAAGTGATGAAGATCCACCATTCTCTCTATTTTGTGTATACTGTAACCAGGTACTTAATTGTTGACCTAGAGCAAGACGCTGTATTGGTGACCCATTCTTCCAGTCGAAAAGGAACGATGGATCGACCACATTCGCAATAACCTAAAATTTGAGTGCCTCAAAAACTCTAAAACTTCAAATGTTGATTTCGAGACATCCCATCTTCATTTTTGAATATTTTTGAAAAAAAAAAAATTCTCGAAGCAACATTAACACTAAATTATTTAATAGACAACGCAATATTAATGAAGAAATTTCCTGCTACTGCACAATACAAAAGCTATTAACCGCTTTATTCAAACCATATTTCATTATTACTTACTGACTGTTTATGATAAGGCTTTCGACTGTCTTTCACAGCAGTAGCCAATAAATGTAATGCGCTCGCACGTGTAAAGATCTGCAAACCAGTATCCGCTAACACCAAAATTCTCGCATCCTCACTCAGCTGTCGCGTCAAATCAACAACATCAGTTCTGTGAAAGCACACTCATTAACTACAAATAATTGAAATTGAAGTTCGAACAATTTTAATTTTGCAGTAAGAAATTATGAAGTATACTTGTTGTCTTTAGAATCTCTGGAATAATCGTGGACTATCTCCATCAATTTCAATTCTGTGTGAATGAAGCTGTTTCGGATGTCCCATGGCACTGACATTACTGATTCATCCTTTAAACAATTATCAAACGTTGTCAGTGATTTCATCCTGGAAAAAAAGTTTTCAAAAAAAAAAGAAAAAATCGCAAATCAGAAAGACCGTTTTTATTTCTGTTTTATTGGACTCAAATACTATAGTAAATTATACTGTGTAATCTCCAAGAAAGTACCACTATACTCAGATGTAAATTAAGTTAGATGATGTCTAAAGATCGACAAAGCCATAAAGTAGACCTCAATTCCTCTCGCTGGAGTACAAATGTTCCTTTTAAACAGCCACAGTTTCAGTACAGAAATGTTAATCACAAGTGAAGATTTTTTTCATACTTTTTATCTGTCATCTATTCAGTAAGTATTGATATTCAAGACTTCAAATTATCCTCAGTTTAAACAACTCAAATAACAAAAATTTTAAAAAATTCAAATATTAAGTGAAATCTATTAAAATGATCTACTAAAATGACTACCTCTTCCATGTAAGCTCTTCGAAACCATCCGGAATTTCATCTGGTTTCGAATCCAAAACACCGTACAACGTCCGCCAAAATAAATCAATTTCTTCCGAATTTCGAAGAACTTCTAGGCCAATTATGATCTTCAAAGATTAGAAAAGCTGAAGTACTAAATCTGAATGAAAAAATACATACCTTATAAAATCAAAAAATATGAAACGAACGAAAAACAATCAGAATATGAACAAATTTACTAGCTGTCGTATAGTTTTTTGTATATTTTCGGATGAATTCTCATTACGTAGACATTCTTGCAAACCATTCAAAGCAAGCTCGATCCTAAAAATAATTTTAGGAATTCAAGATAAGAAAAGGAAATACAAATTTCAAAACATTCCTGACATATTAAATTAATTCATTCGTTTACTACATGCCAAATTTACCTTCCAGCAGCCATATGAGCTGCGCATTTTATCCACACATACTGTTTACCATAAATGTTCTTTACCCAAGCATGTAGACCCAATATTGATTGAGGACGACCCAAATCGATCAGTGCTTTTACCATCCATGTAATACATGTGTGAGCAACGGAATTTATTTCACCTGCAGTACGAATACATTCAATTGCTGATCTCAATTTAGTTGAAACATATGCAATCATTCAAGCACTTATTCGCTTACACAAATATCTCAAGATATACACTATGTCTATTAGTACAAGCAGCAAGCATGTAGTGTAAATATCAGTATAACAAAACAAATGCCAAAAATTTTAAAAACACACCTTTTTCATCAATGTTATCCTTACTTCCTTTCTCCTCAATCCGTTTTCCAATGTCTCTCAACAAGCAACCTCCTAAACGTACGACCTGAGCAAAGTTGCTACTTGTATAAGCAACAGCCATCATCGGCAGACATAGGCGTGAAAGCCAATTCGCACAGCTGGCTTGATTTGTCGTAAGAAACTGCTGCGATAACTAAAAAAAAAAAACACCTCAACTGCTCAAAATAATGTGCTACTGCAATGTAATCACATATCCATCAAGTTATTCTACCTTAGTTAACTCCAGATTTTTGAAATATATGATTGATTTTTGTTCAACACTGTTGATTCAGAAGACAATGTTTCATTTTGTTTCAAAGATGTGAAAATGCGAAAATTACAGGTCTCACACACTGCTAAAGTTCATATCAGAAAGAATGCTGAACATTTACAAGGTGCCTGGGTGGAAATATTATATAATAATAAATGCCAATGGCAACTGATTTAAACAATAATTTTATTAATCTTTAAGGAAAATTCAATTACGAAACGTCCTTTGCGTTTCTTTATATCAATACCAGTTTTCGACAGATACTTCCCTTTAATATCGAATTCACTACTAACTTGTGAAACCGTAGATAACTGAAATATAGCCCCATGACATGCGTAAACTATCAATTTGTCCAATACTTCAATCATATCCAACAAGGCACGAACACGCCACCACTGCTCCGAAGTTGTTAGCTGACGTGCTTCACGTTCAATCTCCACCTCTGCTTCATCTTCATCCTCAACAGCACCTCTTCTACTTACCGCAACCGTTTTCTGTACTACTTCATCTTTAGCGCTTTTGCTAATAGGTAGTGGTTTTCGTGAAAGAGCATTACCAGCTAATCGTCGTATTTCATCTAAAATATATGAATATTTGAAATGAAATTTAAATCCAAGAGTTGAAATTAAAACTGAAAGTTGATAATTGCAGGGTGAGGTAGTGATGCATAAAAGACAAGCACTACAATAAACTACTAAATATATTAATTCATTCTCAAGAAGAAATTTTGAGATGTAACTTACACAATAACATCATACAGAAATTTCTATTATTCTAATAGTATTCAGCAAAGCATAAATATTCTACAGCTGTTTTTGAAAACCCTAAGATAATGGAAGTGCTGATACAATACAAAACGAAATCTAAAGTGAAACAAAGATTTAAAGATGGAAAGTCAATTGTGAATAAACAGTTGAATGAACTAAGGAGGAATTTTGGTCAAGAAAAGTACAAGACAATGACAACAATAAATGCATAGTCATATACTTTGAGCAAATGTGATGGATATAATGTATATGACTGATATTTAATAAAATTCAAGGAAATTAATTAAAAGTTACTTTCAAAAGCAAGAAAAGTATCCAGTGGTTTGCCAAGTGGTGTTTTAAAGCGATTATTTACACAAAATTGGGCCATTTGTGCAATTATCCACCTCCACTTAGATATACAGTCAATATTCGTATTGATGTCACCCATGGCACCTGCATAAATAGTTGCGGCCGTATCTGATATCCAATATCCATCATCGATGCTAAAAATTTTTTGATTGATAAAACTATATTTCTTCCACTTGCTTTTTCATTTTCTTTTTGCTTTACTTGATAATTAACTCAAAAATGAACCAGACAAATATGAGATGAAGCAGTTTTTTCCATAAAATCAACTGTAATAAAGAACTATTTTGTTACTATCCAGTTAAAGATATAAAAAGATATGACTGGAAAGCAGTGCTAACAAGGGATAGCGATCGGCGTAACAGCAACAAATAGTGAGTAACTAATTATAATAAATCGTGAACATATAATTTAACATAACGACAAGAGAAAAAAAAATTTTTGCCGATGTGGAATTTTTGAAAAACTAAAGGAAAGGTCTAAAATACAAACTTGTTAAAGCAGTATGTGGGGAGAACCGAATTCAGCAAGAAGTCAGCAAAAATCTTGAAATGTTCTGATGTGAACAAACTTTCGGATATTTTCTGTTGTCCAAATTCCATTAAATCCTGCACACACTCCGTCAATCCGTTCCTGAAATCATACCCATCTCTTTCCAAAACACTGGCAGAAAATATTCCATAAATGCTTAATGCTGACGAATTCCTAAACATTATCTGAGAATCTCCATCGTTTGTTTTCTGGAGGTCCGGGTTTAAATTACGAAGTCTCAATGCCATTAATTGTAATTAACAACAACACATTTCAAAATCATGCAGACCCGATGCCGACAAAAAGTTAACATATCGAGCATAAAATAAATTATTAAATATTTATTTATGGAGTGAAAACAAATTCTCAGTTTCTCAGTTCAAAGATTATGATATTGCTTTCCACCAAAGATTGCTTCCTTTAAAACAAAATAATTTTAATATTGAACAACACATTATAAAATAAATTTTTTTAAAGCTTCATCAATTATTCGACTGGTAATTTGCAATCATATTTTTTCAGTGAAAAAAAAAAAAAACAAAAAACATAAATCTTAAAATATGAAGACAACTCCATTTTTATTAGTTGAAAATTGATTGGGATTAGAATTTGAAAAAAAAAAAATTATACTTAAAAGACTCAAAAAAAAAATCTGAAGTGTTAAAATCATTGGAGATCAAAATTAAGTACCTTAACCACATTCGAATTCTATGCAATGCCTATTGAACAATAAAGGAACGAAAATGCAATAAATGTGAATTCACCTGATGAAAAGTACTGGAGGAGTAGCTTGCCATATACCAGTTATTTTATTCTGACAACCCGAATGACATTGTTCAAAGATATGTCTAACGAACTTTGCTGTCACTTCAGGTTTTTCGTTCTTAATCAAGTTAAAAACGGCCAATCGTCGAAGTAAGGTAAAATGTCTAACTCGATGACTTGTTGTTGCTAAAATTTGTGCATTTCGATAAAAAAGCTACTCAGATTGATATGTCTATAATCAAAGGAATTATTATTTATCTAATGAACCTTATTACGGTGTTATAATGGAACCGATATGCTCAGAGATGCTTACGATGTAGAATTAAACATTTTTTTATTCAATAATTCATTACTGTTTCAAATGCTAGTAATTTAGATTAGCCAAATAATTTCAGTCGATTAACAGTTTCTTTTTTGGATGTTGAAAAATTATGCTAATACATCTTTCTTTGTTTCTAGCCTACCAAAACGAAGCGCCATATTTCATGAAAAGTTCTTTCAGTTGAAATATTACTGCTACAGAAGATTAACTGCACAACGGTATATTATGAGAAGCAAAACTAATACCTGCACACCAATGAACAACAAAAGCCTCTGGATTACTAAAAATTTTGTTATCCAGCGATGTTTTCTTTGGCAGTGAATGTCTCACGAATGAATCCAGCAATGCTGCCCTCATTTCGATCGTTTCTGGTTTATTAAGTATATGTTGTAGAACATCTTGTGTAAGCGAGAAAACCAAGCCATGAATCCAATCAACAAGTAGATTTCTAAATAAAGTTGAAAAGTTTCAATCAGACAGAACAGTTTGACGGTTCGACATTTTTGAAAAGACTTAATGAACAAATTTTAACCTCGAAACAATGCTACTGGAAATCATTATAATAAAGTTTTGTAACACAAAAAATCTAGTAATACTGAATAAAACTAGACAGAACTAGGACAAAAATCACCTTGTATCTGTCCACAATAAATCATCAAGGACAAGCAGTTTCGTTACTGTATTTAGTATCGTGGTAGTATGTTTTGCTGTTGCTGGTTCAGTAACAAGCGTTAAACTGTTTTTATCAATTAGCAAATTGCTATTAGCAACAAAATTTTCATGTCTGAAATATTTTTTATTGACTCACTTCTACAAAATACGCAAAATTTCCAAATTCATAAGTGCTGAAAAGAAACAACTATAGATGTTTATCATGGTATAATAAAAAGTGACAGTTTAGTGAACAAATGTAGTGATCTGAAATTACTGACAACTATTATCACAAAAACTGTTTTTGAAAGGAAGTATGTGGGCATCAGCAGTTAGAGTATTTTTGCTGAGTAAAAATTAAAATTGGTCAACTTAATAGCATTATTAGCAAAAAAAAAAAAAATGCAAAGCAAAAAAAAAGCATACTTTTCACTATGCGCTTTTACAATGTAAAGCAGAGCATAATGGCATCCAGGATGATTAATGATAAACTGTTTCGTGGTGATTGGCGTTTCCGTCATCAGAAATGTAAAGAGACTTGGTGAAAGACCCACCATCTGGAAATATTTAATGCCTTATTATACAAGCAATGTACGAACTTTTCCAAGCAAGACTGACATTAATTTGACAAATTTCCTTTCAAAATAAGATGATTACTGACACATTGCACACTACAACAATCAAAAACCCTGGGTATAGACAACAGAAGAAGCTCATAAACGTTTAAAAATAGAAAAACGTACAGCAATAAGTGAATTTTTAACAATTCCAAGACTATAAAGAGCATTGAAATATATCATTAGCTTTTTCTCTGTCACTATACTATTGCTGGAATATGCCTCTATTTCAGTTGCTTGCAGTATATTTAAACAATCTGCAATATAACTTCGTACAACCGTAATGAAACATGACTGATTCGTAGAATCTATATTTAAGTACAAATCATCAAAAATTAGTGTTTTTAGGCTGGCATGTAACAAATGCATTTAATAATTAAAAATCAGCTTCATTTCTAAAAAAAAATTCAGTAAGCACGAATAAAAACCAAACTTTTACTTGGTGCCACATGACAATGAACTAACTACGTGAAGGAGGAGAACTTACTTCGAACATCTTCTCGAACTCGATTGTAAACTACTTGGAGCGTCGATAAATTTTTTGGTGCTAAAAGCTTTCCTAAAACATTGCCATATGCTTGCATAACTCTCTGCGACCTTATAATAACATGGTTCAAAGGTCCACCATCACCGACAACATAATCCACAATTTCCACAACCATTTCAGGAGTTATATTATCAATAATCTGCAAATATAAACTTTTTAAGTACAATTGAAACTCCAGTAATTATAAAATTTCAAGGAAAAAACCAGCCAAGCTAATTGGTAAACTATGAACCATCGATAATCCACTTCATTAGTGCTCTACTCTCTCTACAACGCATTACTAGTGTTAGGAATGTTAAAAACCATTTTTCAGTAATTTAAATGTAATGTACAGTACATGAAGTTGGCATAACGTCAATAAATAGAAATCCATGCTATTCTATATTTAAAAAATGGATGGAAAATTCAAAAAACAAACACTTTACCTTCCCACTGCATCCAAGTATCTTTAGCATCGATTTTTCGTCTACGGACGGGTGTTCAAACATTATTTTTAAAGCTTTCATCGAATTAATCAAAAAATCAAGTTTCGGATACGCTTTTAATGCTACATAAAGAACTTCAGCCATGTGTCCAAACACAGTTCCAATTTTGGCAGCAAAAACATCGCTAAGATGAGTCAACAATCGAATGATGCGTCCAAAAACCTCAAAAGGTTCACACTAACTTATTATCCCAGTAAAATTTAGAAAAATCATTTCTAAAAATCCGACAGAAACAGTTCATATATAGTTCAATGAATCCCATTGCACATCTGTTATGATCATCGATAAATCAATAAAAAAAAAAAAAAAAACTAAATGAATTTCTTTGAAGGTTCACATAGGACAAATTCCGTGTTCAAAAATTAAACATATCAAGAAGCATATTACAGAGAATTAACCAAATGAAAACAGAATTAATAACATCCCATAAAACAGAAAATTAACAACACTCCAAGAAAAATAAAACAAATAACTGAATTACTTTTTAAAATTTCGAAAAGTTTAAGAAAATTGTGCACTAATTTGCAGCATAAATAAACAGTAACCTTTTCAGTAAAATCTATTACAAGTGGGCTGACAGGAGTATTCATTACTTCAAGCATAGTTGACAAAGCCCGCAAGATGGCGGCCGTTTTTGCGAGCATATTTTCTGGTGTCGACTCATTCATCCTGATATCCTGCAAATTAACAGTGTTATGAAGAAATAACTAGAAGGAAAACAATAATTTTTCGCAGAATGCAAGCTAAAATGAAATAAAATAAGGCTACAAAGTTGTACAATAAAACTAGAGACGAAATTCAAAGAGTAGTTAAAGTCAAGAATCTGATCGGTAATAAGGTTTTAATTTTATTCTTGGAACTACCTCAATATATGCACTCGCATCATCAAGAAACTGTTTCATAAGCGTTATTGCAGCCGGTACAGCACTGTACCAGTAGGGGCGTAGTTCAACAAGCATCTGATGACATTTATCTAACACTGCAATCGGTTGTTCTGGTTCGATATACCAACCCACAGTAAAATCGACTACATCCTAAGGATGGTTGTCTATATTAGTCAAAAGGCTTAATTCTTATTGCTGAAAAATCAGCTCACAGTGCAAGATTATTGGACATCAAAAATCCAATTTTTAGTGTTTTCTAAGATACAAATTAGAATGAAATATATACCGTAAGCCTATTGTTAAAATGAATCCAAACAGTGATAAGTCCATTGGAGATATTTTCAACTTATTATTATGAAAAATTGCTTCGTAAAAAATTGCATAGAAAAAGAAGGGAAAATAAGGGATTCCTATACATTAATTTGATCATACGAATAAATTAATGAATGGAATTCAAAACGTAACTACTGGTGTGGAAAGGATATTATTAAGCATAAAAGAACAAAAATTAGTAAACTGACATCAAAGCTATGCTTAAAGATTGCAGGAAAGTATTTAGAGACTGCTAAACAGGTATCCAACAATGATATAAGAACGACAGAGGAATCGTTCACTTCAAGCCAGTTCTTTACTGCAGTCATAAGTGCCTAGAAATGGTAATAAAAAATATGAAAAATATGAAACAAGAAAGTATACTGAAATGAATTTAAAATGAAAGCTCTCATAAAGAACAATATAAAGAGCAAGAATTTGTAGCGGGGGAAGCTTGTAATTCTCGGGTAAAAATCAAATATTATAAAAGACGATATTATTGATAACAAATATTATTGATAACATACATCGACATCCTGAGGCTTGATACGAGACTGCCATGCAAAAGTTCCAATTAAATTCAGTGACGAAAAGATAGCTTTCAATACCAGCGCTTTGTCATCTTCATATTTGTCGGGAATAAGCTTCGCTTCACCCAGCATCACTTTTAGATATCTGAAATTCAAAAAATTTCCTACTAACAAACAGTAAACACCACCGTCAACAAAATCACTAACAGTATGAGAAATTTCTAGTCGTAGACTTACTCATTATATTGCGAAAACATGATACAACCCAAAGATCCAAGGCAATCAGAAACACAGCGTTTCACTTCGAACTGTTGCCGAGTTTTAATGCAGTACAACAAATCTTCCATTAGTTTCTTCCAGTCACATCCAATATTCTGCAAAAGAAAATACGTTACACCACTGAAGCAGTTTTCTACCTCCATTTAAAAACTTGTCAACTATCGAAGTTTCCTGAATTTTTTGAAATTACGTTAATAATTATTAGAACAAATGAATGGTTATTAATTTTATTCATTATCACATTATCAAACTCAATAACTGTCTCACATACTAAGAAATAAAATTACAGTCAGTTCCGCTATACTACTGATAAAATTTTCCCTAATAATACTAATAATACATACAGAAACATCACTAGCAATTGTAAAAGCTTGTTGAAGTTGTTCGCATGCAGCAATGCGCTCATCTTTGGAGTAACTCTTTTTATCGTTTATAATCTGAAATTAATTAATCGAATTTTAACTGTCCAGATAAATACAAAAATATATTACATGCCATTAATAAGCAATACCATATTTGTTTATTTGAGACTCCGAGACAGAACATCCAAATGTTGCAACGACTTTAAATGAAAAAAAAAAATGCAGGAACAAAACAAAACTATTTCATTTGACAATTTCCTGGATGCAAATCCATTATAACCTATAAAGTTTCTAAGTCAACGATAAGTGTTAAACAGCACTTGATTCTCTTTAATAATTTCGTTTTCTATTCTAAGCCAGCGTTTTATTTAATTAATGTTTTATTATTTACTCGATTTTTCTATTTGTTTATCGCCTCTATAATTGTCGCTTAACAATAAGAGAGACTTAAAAGAAGTTTCCTAATTCTATCCCTCTAACAAAATTTCGATTTGTTTGCATTCTGTAACAAACCCGATATACGAGACTTTTCACTTCTACATTCTTTGTTTGTTGAACTTCCATGCTACCATTCATAGCGCTAGATTACCAACAACCTCGCATTACTCCACCTCAATAAATGCGAAATACTATACCTTTGATTCATGCGACCCATGAAAAAACTTAACTGTCTAAAAATAAAAATAATAAAATTTTGACAAAAAGACGAAGGAATTTGCATATTGATTTTATAAATCATTACAGGAAGATTCTGTGCAACAATTACAAATGAATTCAACTTCACGATAAAAATGAATAATGTAAAACAAACAATATTAATAAGCATAAGGAATAAATAAGCAAAGTTACCAACGTTACAAAAATTTGTCAAACATATAAATAACTTAAATTTATCATAATTTGCTAATTCCTGCCTAACAGAACAAAAGAATGAAGTGCGAAATTTTGCGACAGAACTGTACAGGTTATGACACACCGATGACAATAGAAAAAGCTGTAATTGAAGTGACTTCCTCCCTCCACTCCTTCGCTTAAATTTAGCTTACCCTCCCTCTCCTCCGATCCTTATCGTTTCTAAAATAAATAATAGTTTGTTAACTGGTATAGTATGCCAATTCAAGCGAACTGATGTCAATATGGAATCAGAGATCGTATCAACAACTCCGACTTTTCGATACTGACAAAAACAATCAATTCTGGCTGATCAGCTCTAGTAATATCGACTACCATATATATGCTTTTTCCACTGACATGATCCGAGCTAGTATCCTCATGCTTATCAGCAGCAAATAACTTAGACTGACGAAGGAAGATATCTTAGTAAGCGAGAGAGGAACAACTGATGACAATTAATTAGCTCAATGATGTATTGTTGTAGCAAAAAGGTCAAAGGTTAACTCAAGCGGTATGATCGTTATGAAAATTTAAGGCCAGAGTTGGAGACAATCTAAAATTTATTTATTACATTCCCCCAAAATCTCCAAATGCTTATCAAACCATACTAATCGATAACCCCTCATCACCCTGCACATCCCGCACCAACAACATCAGTCGGGATATTTTTAGCACGTTCGAAAATCATTCGATCCGCCAGCCAGTAGACCAGCTTAATATGCTACGATGACAGTCAACCACAATCCAGATGGGACAGGAATGATCATATCGGTTACGGTAGTCTTCTAGTGCATTGAAGCAGAACTACTGTATCCTACAGTAGCAGAGTTGCTTTTAGAAGGGGAGTGCTAATGATGTTATGCTGGTAGCACTATTGTAGTAGCAATACATTCACAGTGATGAGTGGTAAAAATTAAACTAATGTAGTTGTAGCAAGCAATAAAACAGTTTGGGAGATTTTAGATCAGTAGGTACGGGTCAATTCTAATCTTCTTTAGCATACTACAGTGAGGCTGTCCAAAGTATCAAAAGCTTGATCAGTGGTAGATTATACAGAATTTATTATCTTGTCTCTCCAACTTATTTCAACGGGGCGAATAGGCTCAGGAAAATGGACAGTCTTGATAACTGGTAAAGTCTCGAGAGGTTTAAAGCAAAATATTGAAATAAGAAAAGAAAGACACAAAATAAAATTCTTTTGATAATTTCACAATTTGGGTGGATGAAAGATAACTGTACTCTTCTGAATATCAATAATGTCAGTTGATCACCAAACCATATTCGAACTACAGATATATATTGAAATTATTAAAATCCCTTGTAATATATGGTTTAGCTTTAAATCAGCAATCATTTCAAATACATGTTTAATTTAATTAGGGATCTTCTTCATGTCAAATACTTCAAACTTCCGATCTGGCCAACTGGTTCTTCGGATAAACGAACGTTTAAAAAAGGAATGCCAAATAGGAAATTCTGAGGAAAAAAAATCCGTTGGTCATAACTACAAAAATTTGACAACTAATTTGATGCTTTTGAAGCTAAAAAAATATGTTGCACTAACTCAAAGGCGGAAAAATAGTAGATTAGTTGAAGTGTATATAAAAACCTGATAAATTGTTTCGCAGAAAAAAGTATAACAAAAATAAGACCATATGGTAATAGCCAGAATTTCATGGATCATATAATATAGATCAAAGATCTCTTTTTGTGGAATAACGATGAGATGAAAATTGATTTAGTAAGTTGAAATTTCTACGTATTTTTTGGTCATTCCTTACTTCCCAATGCCAATTTTATCTCTCAGTTTATCAAGTCTAAGTGAGTGTAAAATGCTGTTTTAGCTTAAAAAGATTAAATCAGCTATCAAATCTTTACAATTATTACAACAAGATTTTCTCTTTTCCTCCGAATTTCTTATTTGTTATCTTTTTCTGTTTCTTATTATTATGGGTTAACTGGAAGCATTTTTTAAGCCAGAGCTTTCTTTTTTTTCAGAGATATCAGTGATGTAGACTGATATCTCTGAAAGAGATCGAATACATTTTCAAGAAATTTGTAATTCTCAATAAAGCTGTGCAGTGTAGTTATTTTCCTGTCTCTCCTGATCATTCCAGATATGTTCCCAAATCTTTCGGAATTTTTCTTAATGCTCTTATAGCCAATCAAACTCTTCTCCTTTGAACTCTTCTCCCTTTTTTGCAACAATAATTATATATCTTAAATCCTCTTATTCGTTTTTTTTTAATATTTGATTTATCCTAAATATACTCATATTATCATTTAAATCTAATCATTATTATCACCATTGCAGTGACCACTCATTTATATATGTGCTAGTGTTTAAACTAAGTCATGCGCTAGATGACAAGAAATGAAACTTAACCTTTATGACGTTTTACCTTTATGACGAAGTAAATGTTGATAAATTATGAATACAATGTGTTCCTTCTTTCCTTTAGGTTGTTAGTTTCATGCTTGATAGTGAGGTAAATGAGGAAATTCATTCAATCGTCTTAATACTTTTTTGCTTAGGCATATAAAGTAATCGGCCTTACAATTTGGCTTGCTAGCCTTAAAAAAAAAAATAGTCCTTTTCTCTTTCAATCGTGTTAACCACTTGGCTCTGTTCTTTCTCTTTTTCTTCCAAAAAAAAAGACAATCTCTAAATTTCTATCAATTATTTCGCAGATATGAAATGACTGAAATATTTCCATTTCTACAACAGTGTAATTATGCAGCCTTACTTAAATGTATGAATAAAGCCCTTTTAAGATTAATGAAACATCCTGGATGAGGAGGTCAAACTCGGACCGGAAGATTAATAGAAATATACTAGCCAATACTGCGTATCAAAATCTATGGAAAGAGGAATACATCATTTCTCTACATACTTAAAAACACTTCTACTATGATAAATGAGTGTTTTCCGCTATTTTTAAGCTTGGTATAATTGACCGCGATGTGATGAAATCTTATAGCACAGCAAACTGAAAATTCCACATGCATAAATTAATTTATAATTCAATGAACTAAAACATTAAATGACTGGTTACATGGGATCACATTCACGAACACACTGTGCTAATATGTTAGATCTAAGTTAAATCAAATCAAGTTAAAGTATGCAGCAATTAAGAGTCAAACTCTTGTGTTTAAAGTTATAGCAAAATTGAAGCCCTTTCATTATAAATAAAAGTCAATCACTTTTTATCCCAGTCTCTTTGATTTGTGACAACTGACCATTGAACTAAATTTAACCACCCAACCATTCAGTTGCAGTATCAATTAAAATAGCTAAGGTTTTAAGGCATAGAAATAATTATGAAAATTTAAAGTTGATTCAAGGCAGACAGGACTATTTAGATAAACTTTGGAGCATTAAATGAAGTAGAAAAGTTCATTGAGAGTGTTTAAGCAATTTTCTTGGCAACAGACAATGAAGAAAAGTAAAATTGTTTAAATTACTTTGTTCAAATGACAATTTATGTGATGCATACCACTGTATCAAAATTTCTGTTCGATTAATTTTATTCCCATTTTGTGACTAACAAATTTGGTATTCCAATTTTGTAATTATTATTCCTATGATAATCTGATATATTGCAATGAGTATAAGCTGAAAATGAAAGATCTGCAACTTGCCATATCATCGTGAAGTAGTCGACTATAATCTCGTGAGGAAGTGATCTTCTCTTCTTTGCTTTTATCCCATCCCTAAATATTATGTTAGTTGACAATAGAAATGAGCCAAAAGTCATAAAAGAATGAATTCAGAAAAAATACAAATCAGTAATTATGACATCACAAATTTGTCACCAGCAGATTTATGCGATGTTGTCCAATCAGTGAGAATTTCAGTATTTCCAGATATTTACAGTTTAGCCTTAAACATAAATTTTAACTTTTTTAGTCAAGTATTTTTTCAGATTATTATTAACAAGCTTGGGATGTTTCAGTGCCTAATGAATCACAAAACAAATAACACAATTCTTTTGTTCATATATAATATGGTTCGATTGCTTTTATGGAAAATATATGATATCAAACCGAAAACGAAACTTTCCAAAGTTAATTTTTTAAAGACTCAATTAAACTATTCAACATCGTAAGTATTAAAAGTATGCAGTAATTAGTTTAGAACAAAAAAACTATGACTTAATCTATCTCCTCTTTAGTTCTTTTCCTAGTAACTTTTTTAAACGTCTTTTTTTCAAAGCAAGATTCTTTAAGCTTTTAGTGATTAACGAGAGAAACACGGATATTTTACTAAATTGAAATTTATGCAAAGTGCTGTTAAATTAGATTTATTTTGAAGTACCTTTGGGATTTTGGAGCTGTTTCGGTGAAGAAAATGGCAGGAAGTTAGAAAGAAGTTGTCAATGCATTTTTACTTCATTCAAATGGAATCAAATATGCTAACTGCGCCAACTAATAATATATGCGTAATAAAAACAAACAACAATATGTGCTATTTACATTATGGAAAAGAAGCGCCAATGTTTCAGAGATTTAAATGATGTGTATTTCTCTGCTTCTAAATAAATAAATGATTAAGGGAATAGAATGTTTATTTAATTTTCTTTTTCTTGATTTTTTCAAATTTGCAGCATATGTTCAGCTCATTATTTTATCAACGTTCTGTTAAAAATACTATTTGGTGTTGAATC